GATGAGATGACAGTGGCTTGGGCTTCAGTGTTAGTGGTTGAGGCTGTGAAAAGTGGTAGATTTCAGATATTTTTATCCACACTTCCACCCCCACCCTGAGCTACTGATATAGGGGACTAGAGAAATATTTACCATAATTCCAATGATTTTTAGCCATAGCAACAAGGATGGAGATACCAGTTACTAAAATGGGAAGAGTAAGGAAGAAACACGTTTCAGAGAGAATTAGTCTTAGTTTTGTATATTCAGAGTTTGAAAAGTTGTTAATATCTAAGAGGAAGATATGAAATGGGCAGTTGATGTATGGGTCTGGAGTTTAGGGTAAAGGTCTGAGTTGGAAACGTAATTGACATGAAAACAGAGAAGCTACATGATCAGATGCAACTTATTAGGAAAGAAGGTTGATAATGAAGAGCAGCAATTCAAGGGCTGAATGAGCTCTGTTTGTGATATGTGGATTCCTAACTGATGGTTCTACAGGTGCTTCCTCAATCAATTCTTTTTCTCCTGTAGCTTCTTCTGTAGAATATGTATTATCACCACTTTATAGATGTGGAAGAATACCTTTAAGTTATAAATATAGGCAATGAAATTGAAAAATTTACTCAACCTTTTAAAGCCATGGGGTTATTACTATGAGGATCCAGTGATATACATGCACGCCTTTTCCAAAGTGCACCTCTTTCCCCACATATTTTGCAAACAACTCCAGGGAGTTATTGGGCTTCCTGAAACCCATTTGTGAAACTCACCTCAAGAGTCCTCTATCTAATGCCTTTTCTCCTAGCTTTACTAATCCTTGCAGTTCTGTGAACATGAATCTTGAAAATGAAAATCTGGTTCTGTTGAACTGATGTTTACTTGTTGCTATCGAAATATCATCTGCATGTTGATTTGGAAATTAAATCACAGCCCCCAGATTTCCCTTGAACTCCAGTCTCAGAAACCATACTACTTTTTTGGCATCTGTGCCTGAAGTCCAATCAATAGCCACTTCCAACTTAACAGTCCTCAGACAGCATTTCTGACATGACCTCTGCAGAGCAGCTCCTCTTGGATTTGGTGAGTGGTGATTCTCACCTGTCAGCTACAATCCTATCATTTTTTTTTTTTTTTTTGTCTTTTCAAACTCTGTATCCAGTTCATCAGCAAGTACTGAAAACTCTATTTTAAAAATACAAATGGAATCCAACCATTTCCCATTCTGATTGCTGAGGCCCGGTCCAGCCAGCCCCACTGTCCCTTCTCATCCCTTCTCACTTATGATTTTTTTGCAGAACCCTCACCTCCTGGGCCTGCTTTTGCTCTCTCCCCCAGAGCAGCCAGATGTTAGAGTCTGTAAACAAGTCTGGATGGCGCCTGGCAAAATGCCAGAGGGAGTGGTTTGTGAAGTAACGCCAGGGAGCCATTAAGTGTGGAGATTCCTTATTGGTTGACTGCTGTATCTAGTTTATGCTAATTAATAGGCTGTGTGGAATGTATAAATATCCCTCCGGTCCTACAATAAACGGCTCCCACTCCTGCTGTATCAACATACACAAGTTATTCGTCACCCCCGGGTTATTTTGCTGCAGCCGGACTGTGGCAGCCAGATGGATTGCAATAAAGGGCAATTCAGACCAGGTTGCCTCTCCCCTGGAAAACTTCCAATGGCTCTCCTTCCAGCGTAAAACCCTAAGTCCTTTCATTGGTCCACAAAGATCTTGTTACTCATGTGGCCACAAATCCCAATACTTTTCCCAACTTCATAGCCCCTGGAGCTCTCTTGAAGTAATGTCTCTGTTTCAGGGACTGTGCACTGATAGTCCCCTCTCTGAGGACCTCCATGCCAGATCTCTGAATGTGTTACTCCCTTACTTCCTTCAGGTTTGTATTTAAATATCCTGTGGATGAGGCTGTCTGTGACCATGCTGTTTTAGCACTGCAATTTCTATATCTGTCTTCACTTCCTGTTTTCCTCTTCCTTGCAGTTGAGGAGCCTACAGTCTACCAGGAACGAAAAGCATAACCCTATGGAAGGCAAAGCAGGGGTGGAATACCATATAGGATGTCAGCAGAATGTAATTCAAGTCACTTTTCCTTTTTCTGGCAGAAAGGGATGGTAATTCATGAAGAATCTTTTAAAAGTGAGGTGGGCTGTATGCCTATAATTTCGGTGACTCCGGAGCGAGTTCAGTGATAAAAAAGAAAGGGGGTGGGTTGGGAAGACACAGTAGGTGATTGATTAAAAAAAATTCTTTAAAACAAGTCTATATTAGCAATTTTTGCAAAGTTCAGGTGTGATTTTCTTATAACCAAATTTCAGTACTAGCTATATTTCATAAATCATGGAGATTCTGACTTTTTGTAGAAGGGAGTTTACTTTTCCGCTAATATACAAACACAAGAGTACATTAAACACAGACAGGTTGTAAAGGATAATCTGATGACCATATCTGAATCCAGTTGCCAGTTAGGAATAACAAAGCAAAACGGCTGCTTTGACCTCATCTCATCTTTCTGCTATCCATCAGAGGTAACCACAGCTCAGAATTTTGTATTTCCATCTTTTTTTTGCCTTAAAAATTCCTGTTTGGCCCTTATATTCATACTACACAAAGTTTTGCTTAACTTTCTCATTTGTTCCTCTTCAACTTTAATGGAGCATTAGTTTATAAATAAGAACATATGCTTAGCATGACAGAGCTATGTAGTTTAAAAATTCTCAGTCTGTTTTTTCCTATTTGGCTAGACACTTTACTTTTCCTTAATTTAAAAATGTCGTTCATTTTTGCATATTAAGATATAGCATAACACTTGGTACAGAATTGTTACTCAATAATTATTTAAATATATTACTTTTCTTTTTAAAATAGGATAGAGACTTTGGAGAGGAAAAGATCTGAGGTAGAACATACTGTCTGTTGAACACACAAATGGGAATTGTGGAGAACATCAAATGGAGAATGTTCTCTGCAGAGCAGTTAATCTTTTTACCCAGAAGAATGTAACAGTACTATTCACATTTTGGCATGGATCCTTCTAATACAGCCTCTCCTTCCCAACTATATTATGTGTGTGAATATATTATAATTGAGAAGACACTGTTTTGCAATTGTCCTTATCCCCACACTACCCCACAAACATTTTTTATTTATTTTTGTCACAATGTTTTTAATGATTGTTGCATACTATTTCACTATGGACAAAACCTATTTTTAGCCAAACTCTCAAACAATCATATTTCTGTTTTTTGGGCAAAATTAAGCAGAAGCATAGAGCATGTTTAAAAAATTAGAAGATCAGTAGGATTTTATATATTATTAACTATATGCACAAAAGGAAAGGGAATATTTTAAAATGAAGACAAGATTTCAAACTTGGATGTGTATATAGAGCTGAGGCAGAGCATAATGAGATCACTCTTGAGTACTATTAAGAAGCATTATCACTCTGTTTTTTCTTAACCCATGGCGCTTTACCATTGAGCCACATCCCCAGCCTTTTTTATTTTTATTTTTTATTTTGAGACAGGGTCTCGCTAAGTTGCTTAGGACCATGCTAAGTTGCTGAGACTGGCTTTGAATTTGTAATCTTCCTCTCTGAGCCTCTGAGCCCCTATGCCCAGCGTTACTACACTTCTTGTTATGGGTTGAATTTTATCTGTTCCAAATTCATATATTGAAGTTTTTAACATCTGAAAATATGACTCTATTTGGAGATAAAGATGCAAAATGAGGTTATTGAGGTGGGCCCTAATTCAATCTGGTGAAGAGATTAAAAACACATACACACAGAGGAAGACCTCCTAAAGACAAAAGATAGCCATCTACAAGCCAAGAAGAGAGACTACAGAAGAAAACTGTTTACAAGGTTGATCTTAGACTTTACCTCCAGGATTGTGAGGACATTTGTTTAAGCCACACATCCTGTACTTTGCTATTTCTAGAGAACTAGAATCCTTCTTAAACATTTTCATTTTGTTTTTTTCTGGATGTTTTCAGTGTTCTGCCTGTTTTTCTACTGAGAAAAACAAGCACACAGAACACAGATCCACCCATAGGATGTTGTACAGAGGAAACTATTTTTTCCTTCTACCCATCTTGGGTTCCTTGACTGGGGGCCTGTAAGAAGAACAAACAAGAGAAACACATGCACATTCATTTAAGTTTTACATGACATGAGAGCCTTCTTAAGGGAAGAAAGACCTGAAGAAGCTGTTAAAGCTGTTTTCATGCTGGGGTTGATAAAGTGGACAATCTCGGAGAAGTGTAGCAGGACAAAGAAAATATGAACTAATGTTAAACTAGGGGAAAACTAGCAAGGCCTGTTGAGTCCTGCTGGGGTTTGCAGGTCTCACAAGAATCTTAGGGTGACCTGCTTTAGAGGAGAAAGCTGGGACATGGTCAGAGACTGTCCTACACATGCTGTTTCTCAAATTCTCTCACCTGAAAATAGTATATCAGGGTTCTACAATGTGTGGTAGTATATTCTTAACTCCATCTATATATATACAATTGAGGGTAGATGGGAGATAGTGACTTTTTTGGGTCCTCCTTGATTATTACCATGGGAAGGTCAGAAAGACAGCGGCTACTTGAAAGAGCCTAAACATGATGTTACTTCCACTTTAAGGCTGAGGTGTTCTAGTGTTCCTCAGCATTCTAGGCACAGGTATTCGCACATTTTCTCTAAAGTGACCACTGTCAGGGGCAGAGTGAGTTCAGATAAGCTAGGCCTCCTCAGGCAGTGGTTCTGTCCAATTAAAGCATATACTTGTTAAGTTGAAGAAGTCCATCTAACAAATAGGTATATGAGATTTGTGGGAATAAGAGGAAGACCTAGTATATAAATAGGAGGGAAGCATATACAGTGAGTTAATGAATTGAGAAATAGGCATGGGGAGACCAAAAATTTTCTTGACCTGCAGGACATCACGGAGGGCGATGAACCTAGGTGGGGAGAGGGATGACAGCAAGACAGGAGTTCTGATCAAGCTGCAAATTTTTATTGTTCACACAGAGGTATTTATATGCTGGGGATGGGGAAGCTCTCCTATTGGCAGTTGCTGGATGTAGGTTGTAAAACTGCCAGCTGCAGGATGTCTGCACAAGGCGAGATAACTGCAGGATGTTCCAGGAAGATAGATGGTCGCAGGATGTTTCCCAGGCAGGCTGTTTCTTGTAAAGGTCAGGCTATTCTCAGAAAGAGAACTTCCTTCTAGCCCCTGACATTTCCCCCTTTCTTATATAAAATATTTGACCATGCCTTTATTGGCCATGTTTTTAGGGGGTGATAGAGGCTCTGTTCCTCTAGGAGGCCTTAGAATATCTCCTGATCCGAGCGAACGTCCTCACTAGGAGATTTTGTGGCCTTGGCATGTTTTTGGAGGAGACGGTTTTGAGGGAGAAGCATGCCAACCGCCATGCACCAGAGCGTGTCACTCAGAGGTCTTGGGTTTTGGGATCCGTGGATCCATCCTCCTGCAGTCCTTCCTGCACCCTCCGTCATTATGGCCTAACGTCCTCACTCCATGGGTGCGTCCTCCCCCAAGCGGAGGGGTCCATGGGAGGAGGGATAACTTAACCCTTATGGCAAGGGCAGAAGATGGTTGGTCAGAAGCTGTTATTTGTACTTTTATATAAGAAAGAGAGGTCTGTGGGGATGTAAACTTAAGAAATAAGCCTGTGAGAAGGGTGGAACACCCTTTTAAATGTTGGCAGCACAGTCTTCCATCTCCAGACGATGACAGTGGACCTGTATGGGCTTAGAGGCTAAAATATTAATCTGTTCTTTAATAAATTGTACCAGCCTGTTTATAATGCAGGGTCCTATGGACACCATTAAAAGTAAACCCAATAAAGGGCCCAATAGGGAAAGGTAGGGTAGAAATCCATTAAGCCCATTCCAAAGTGGATTTTCAAACAGTTCCCTCCGTCTTTTTTTCTAAGTCTTCCTGAAGCTGTTTAATTTTAGTGCGTACTATGCCTGATTTATTGGCATAAAAGCAGCATTGCTCCCCCAGGGCCAAGCAAATACCTCCCTGGTTAGCTGTCAGCAAGTCTAAGCCTCATCTGTTTTGAAGGACTACTTCTGCCAGGGAGTCTATTTGGTCCTGTAAATCTTTAATGGTTCCTGATAGAGTTTGTACATCATCTATAAGTTGTTGAGACAGGCGATGGTAAGAGTGTATAGCCGTGCCTAAGCCAGCTTTACCTGTGCTCACAGCAGTTGCTATTCCAAGGCTGGCAAGGAGTGGTAAGGCCTGTACTGTCCACCTGTGTCTTTTTATTAGGGTGTCTAGGCTAGGAATGGGTAAAGGTTCGTCTCCTGATACAATACTTATATCAGGGAGCAATAAGGCAAGAACACAGCCACCGGTCCAATTTGTCGGAAGCCTGGGGAAGGCCAAGTTTCTTCTGCAGACAAAAACTGTACCATTGGGGGGACAAAGAGGTGGGGTAGGTGAAGAATAATTATGTAATATTGAGCAATTTCCAAAAGAATTAATTCCAACATCAACATCATAGGTATTATTCTGCATCATGCCTAAAAGACATAATGTAAAAGTACTCATAGGCTGTACTCTGAAAGGAAGCCCAGGTTGGCATGTATCATTATTGTCTATGGGAGAATTAATAGGAACTGCCACGGGCATTATCACCCCTGCTGTCATGCAAAGCCAGCAATCACTAGCAAGGATGGGATTGGAATCATTAAGCAAGGAAAAGGTAGTTTCCAAAATACCCAATGTATTAATATCTAAATCTGGAAGTTAGGATTTAGGCAGCATTAAGGGATGATATGTAAGCTCAGGGAGTTGGGGTTTTAAAAGCTTAAGTATCTGAATATGTTTAACAGCATCCATGGGCCCTCCACCATCAGAGACCCCCGTAGGGGCGTTAAGAGGCCAACGGGAGGGTTTGCCAACAGTGCCTTGGCATCCAGCTAACCGCAGCATGGTGTGGTAACTTGTATGTCCAAGAAAGCCATTGATGGTATCTGTGGCAACTCCAACTCCTTCAGCAGATCTGGTTTGTGTTGGGGAGGCTTGAAAATATTGTACTCCCTGTTTATTAAACACAAATTGAGGCTGACGCATAGCAAGAGACATGCACCGTCATGGTATATGTACAAGTTGCAGAACAATTTTGGAGAGTTTTACTTGTACTGGAGGAAATAATCTTGTTAACACACACCCATTTAGGCTGGTGAAACCCACCAAGTTTAGCGTCAGCCTCAGCACGGAGGTAAGCCACCTTAGTCCTGCAGTCAACAGTCTGGGTAAAACTGGTGGGAGCCTGAGACCGAGATCCTCCCTTGCATTCGCAGGGGGAGCCAAAAAGGTGCTCCATGATGTTGGAAGGTGGAGGGCCAAGGTCCCCGTGTACAAACCTGTTCAACAGACGTACTTAAAGTAGGAGGATTTTCATACAAATTGTTGGCTGCATCTGAAAAAGAGGAAAATTTGTCCTCAGGGGGAGGGCCTCCATCCCTGGGTTGAGGTAAGTCATTGACCTGTTTAACCAGGCGTTCTGGTAACCATCTTAGGGCTGCTTACTCTTGATCCAAAACACAAGCTGAGCCTCGTCCCCAGATGAGGACAGGATCTGGGCCTTTCCATTTATTTGTAAGGGGATCGCGCCACATAACAGGTGGGCGAACAGAATTAGAAGAGGGATGCCAGTGTCTGTCTGCGGCCGAATGGCCTTTACTGTCTAGGGTAAGAAAATTAAGGGCAAATAATGCATGGTTAAGGCGATCCCTGGGAGTGGTAAATACAAGGGCGGAAGCCTTAAGGCGGGTTAGCCAAGTCTTTAAGGTAAGGTGGGCACGTTCCACAATGCCTTGACCCTGAGGGTTGTATGGAATTCCAGTAGTATGACAAATTTGCAAGGTAGCACAAAACTGCTTAAACTTGGCACTGGTATATGCAGGACCATTATCTGTTTTAATATGTGTCGGTTTACCCATTACGGAAAAGGCTGAAACAAGATGAGAAAGGACATCTTTGGTAGCCTCTCCGGAATGTGGTGATGCAAAAATAAAGCCGCTGAAGGTATCTATAGAAACGTGTATATATTTGGTCTTTCCAAATTCAGGAAAATGAGTAACATCCATTTGCCAAATCTGATTGGGCAGTAATCCTCGGGGGTTAACTCCCAAGTGTTGAATGGGGAGGGAGATAGCACAAGCAGGGCATGCTTTTACTGTTTCTCGCGCCTGTTGCCTGGTAATTTTACAAAGTAATCGAAGGCTCTGGGAATTTAGATGGTGAAGATTATGTAACTCTGTGGCCTTTTGAATGGAGCCAACAAAAATTGGAAAGATGGAACGAGTTGCCGCATCAGCTTGGGCATTACCTTGTGTTAGAGGGCCGGGAAGATCAGAGTGTGTCCTAATGTGTCCTAAGAAAAATGGGTGTTGTCTGGCCTGAATTAGCTGCTGAAGCTGGTGAAACAGAAAGGCTGCATTGGAAGAAGCCTTAATGGTGGGTGAAATCTCCAGCAGGGGCACAGAGTGGGCGATGTAGGCACTGTCTGTATAAATATTCACAGGCTTATCAAAAAAGGTTATAAAAACTTGTGTTATGGCAAACAATTCCACAAGCTGTGCTGACTGATAAGCAGTATCAAAGGTGGTAGGCTGGTTATTGACAACAAAGGCCGCACGGCCATTACTGGAACCGTCTGTAAAGACAGTAAGGGTTGAGGAATGGGAGCCTTTTGAGTAATCTTGGGAAAAATAAATGGATGTAATTGGGCAAAATGTAAAAGGGGGTCATTGGGGAGGTGGTTATCGATTGTTCCCAAAAAACCTGATAGGGCAATACCCCATTCATCCCCCATCTGTAGTAAAAATTGGGTTGGGTCCTTAGTGTATGGAATTAAAATATTATCAGGGTCTTTGCCAAAATGTTGTCGAGAGAGCAAGCGACCTTTAGTAATAATAGAAGCTACAGTAATAACCTTGGAGGATGTGGTGGGTAAATGGACCCCAAGCAAGGGGCAGCCTTTATTTTTAAAATGTGGATCCCGCTGCCAAAATATTCCTGTGGGTGTATGAGGGGTGCGTAAAATAACTAGAACCAGAGGAAGGTCATAAGAAATCTGTGTAACAAACTGTTGGGCAATGGCTTCTGTGACTTGGTTTAATGCCTGTCATGCCTTGGGAGTAAGCTCCCGAGGGGAGGAGGGGTGGGAATCGCCTCTCAAAATATCATTAAGGGGCAAAAGTACACAAGTGGGTAATTTTAAATATGGTCTTAGCCATTGAATACCCCCCAGTAATTTTTGAAAATCATTAAGGGTGTGAAGATGGTCCACACGTAGTTGTATTTTAGGAATTTGGATCTGATTATCTTGAAGTTTAAGGCCCAAATAGGTATAAGGGTCCTGTGTTTGAACCTTATCAGGAGCTATCTGTAGTCCCAAGGCAGCGAGGGCTTTGTAAAGGTCCAAGTAACAATTATTAAGATCATAGGTATTAGGTGCAGCAATTAACAAATCATCCATATAATGTAAAATATAAATTTGTGGCCATCGCTCTCTCACAGGGTCTACTGCCTGAGCGACATATTTTTGGCAAAGACTAGGGCTATTGCCCATACCTTGGGGAAGAACCTTCCATTGAAATCTCTGCATAGGGCCCTGAAAATTAATGCGAGGGAGACTAAAGGCAAAATAGGGTCTATCCCCGGGATGTAAAGGAATGGTGAAAAAGCAATCTTTTAAGTCAATAACCATTTTACAATAGTTTTTGGGAATAGCCACTGGTGTGGGAATGCCTGGCTGTAGTGCTCCCATCGGGCGCATAACTTTATTAATGGCACGCAAATCTTGTAAAAGGCGCCACTTTGCTAAGAGCCAAGTATATGATGCATGGCATTTTTAGTCTAAAGGTGACGCCAGCTAGCCATTGAGATGATATGATTATGTTAAGATTTGCATTCATATGGATATTGGACTCCTGCTGTTCACCTAGGCCGGCTCCGGGACCCCTGGAGAGTTCCCATTGGTTGGGGAAGTACAGTAGGAGGGAGTTCCGGGGGAGGAGCTCGCTCTGCGGGTCCGGGAGGAGGCCGCGTGGGTGGAAAAAATCTTCCCGGGCGGTACCGGACATTGGCGGCAGTTTCAAAAAAAATAAACTTTGTTCCTGCTTGAGTGGCTCGTGATTTTGTGCCCAGCCAGACTGCGGCACCACTTGCCTGATTTTTTCTTGATAACAAAAATAGGAGTATTCCATGGTGAGGTTGAGGGCTCTACATGGCCGGCTGCCAGCTGTTGCTGCACTAACATGGAGTCAGCCTCCAACTTTTCTTGGGTAAGGGGCCACTGATCCACCCACACAGGAGTCTGAGTCTCCCAAATAATCTTATCTGCATGGGGTACAGGAGGGTCAGGGACCGACACTAAAAATCCGAATACCCAAGTCCATACGTATTTGTTTTTTGTGTGGGTTGTATGGGCTCAACCAGTCCTTGTCTCAGTCTCCCAAGGCCTGTACCAGGGACAAAATTCATACGCAGCATTTGGTGAGTCACCATGGAATTGGGACTGGCAAGAATAACTTCAATTTGACTCAAAATATCTCGGCCCCGTAGGTTAACAGGGAGGTCAGGAACAACGAAAGGAGTGACAGTTCCCCTATTACCCTCTTTATCAGTCCAGCTAAGAGCCCTAGAGCTGACCAGAGGATTTTTTGACTGTCCTATTCCTTTAAGGTCAGTCAAGAATGAGGTGAGGGGCCAACCTGATGGCCAGTGTTTTTGAGAAATAACTGTGGCATCCGCACCAGAATCTAGGATTCCTTGGAATTCCTTTCCTTCAATAAGTAGGGTAAGGGTGGGTCTATTGTGAGAAATAGGCTGAACCCAATACGCATCAGAGGAGCCCAAGGAGGCAGTCCCCCGCGGTAGGGTCTGGGCAGTGGAAGTGCCTCCTGAATTTAAGGGAAGGAGTATTAATTGTGCAAGTTTCGTTCCTGCTGGGATGGCCGCAACTCCATTAATAGCTGTGGCCAGTATTTTTATTTCTCCAGTGAAATCATTATCAATAATGCCAGGGAAGACCTGAACACCTTGTAAGGTAGTAGAGGCTCTTCCAAGAATAAGGGCACACATATGAGATGGAGGGGGACCCATAATTCCAGTGGGTATTATTTGGGGCCCTTGCATGGAGTCTAGTATTGTATCGGTGGCGGCACAGAGGTCCAGTCCTGCGCTGCCTGGGGTGGCCCGTTGGAGGGAGGCAATTGTGGAGAAGGATTTTGAACTAGGTTGGGAGTCTGGGAGGGCACAAACTTTATTGCCCCTGGGTTTGTCCTCCCCTGGGGGAGGTCGGGGCCAGGGGCTGGCCGTGAAAGGAGTTTCCCGAGAAGCGGGAAGAAATAGGCTGTCCAAGGGCATTTGTTTTAGATCTACACTCATTGGCCCAGTGACGACCTTTACCACATCTAGGGCAAAGGGTGGCTGGAGGTGGTTTAGCCCCAGTTTGAGAAGACGTTGTCCCTAGGCCCTGTTTGCCTGTTGGGCACTCGCGTGCAAAATGGCCAAGTTGCTTACAAGTAAAGCAAGTACGTGAGCCAGGATTGCGAAAGGCCTTGGTAAAGGCGGCACCTATGGCGAGACCCATGGCATGGGCTGCTCCCACCCCGGCACAGAGTCTAATAAAGTCAGAAAGTTCCCCTTTATCCTTATGTGGTCGAAGAACATCCTGACATGCCGGGTTGGCATTTTCAAAGGCAAGATGTTTTACAAAGGTGCTTTCGCTTTCGCTTGGTCCAAGCAGGCGTTCCGCGGCTAGGTTGAGTCGTGCAACAAAGTCGCTATAAGGCTCATCAGGCCCTTGTCGAATTTTTGCCAGGGAAGTGGTAGCCGAGCCCTTTTGAGGGAGGTGTCTCCAAGCATGTAAGCCAGCCATCTGAATCTGTGCCAAAAGTCCAGCAGGGAAACGCGCCTGTTTAGCGTTAGTGTCAAAAGGTGCATTGCCCACTAGCTTAACATAAGTCCAGGATTTAGAGGAGGCCTTTGTTAAATTTTTTTGAACAGTTTCCCGACAGTGCTCTTTGAAATCTGCATTCCATAACAGGAAGTCTCCAGCACTGAGGGTAGCTCGGGCCAAAAATTTCCAATCATTAGGAGTAAGCCATTGTGCGCTTTGGCTTTCTAATAAAGCCAATGTATAAGGCGCAGTGGGGCCATAGTGAACACAAGCCTTTTTAAGTTTTTCAAGAAAACGCAGGCTTAATTTCTTGTAGGCACCCTGAGTTCCTTCCTGCCTAGAAGTGGGCTCCTCATCCTCTGAGTCTTGGTCTTCCTCTTGTCCGTCCCCCGCTTCCTCCTCTTGATCCTCCTCTAAGTCTTTGTCCTCAGTCTGGGCGGGCTTATCTGTCTGACTGCGGGTGTCTGGGAAGGCAAGAACAGGCGGATGGCGCGGCTTAGCCTTTGTATTAGACCGCCTTGGGCCAGCTTGTGTTGACTCCATGCCTAGGGCTAATGAGCGGAGCTCAGAGTCAAGGGATCTTAATTCTTTTAAAAGTTGGATCTGTTCTCGTCTATGTTGGAGAGACTCGCGCAAGGGAGCCAGGTTAGGTAAGGGAAGTGGAGAAAAAATATCTGGGGGGGCAGTTGGCCCCTGAAGGGCCAGAGCACAAAAGGCAGGAGGGATATAGGAGGGGGGTGGCTTTGTAAGTCCTATAGGCTGTGGCAGGGTCCTGAGATGTGGCGGGTCTTCTGAATGGTAGCAAGCTGCTTCCTCCTCCAAGGTAGCCTCCTCCTCAGGGGTCAATGTGTCTCCAGGATTTAAAACTGGATAAAGGTGGTTGGCAACCTTTGGGGCCTTATTTATTAGGGTGGGATTTTGAGGGGGACCAGGAAGGTTCCCAGGGTCCTGGGGAGACTGAGAAGGATTTATGTCTATACTAACTGAAGGGCATGCCGAGGGGGGACGAGAGGTCTTTTGCATAGCCTCTTCCCCAATCCTGACAAGTTTTAAGGTACCATTGTCAAAGGGTGAACTTTTAAGAATTTCATTAATTAAGTTCCAGTAAGAAAAGGTGGTAACAGGCACCTTTTCTGGGCCAAAGGATTCATAATAATCTTTTAAACAGTCTCCTACTCTAAGCCATCTTTTATCATCAATGGTCCCTTCAAGGGGAAACCATGGACACAAATCTTCTATGTAGGAAAAGAATAAGTTTAAGTCCTTTTTCTTAACATGCGCCCCCCGTGTCTTGAGGGCCTCCTTGAGGCCTGACAAAAACAAATCATGTGACGAGACTGCTTGTCCCATGGTGGGTCACTCACCGTGCGTCATCCTCACTCTCCTCCTGGATCTGTCTCTCTCTCGGTGGTGTCTGCGGAGGCAATCGCGAACTCCGCTTGGCCAAGTCTCCCCAGAGGATGGCGTTCCCCCCTCCGTCAAAGGCTCGAGCACATGTTGGGCGCCAAATGTCCCCACCGGCAGAACATCAAGGAGGGCGGCGAACCTAGGCGGGGAGGAATGAAGGGACAAGAGACGCGAGGGATGACAGCAAGACAGGAGTTCTGATCAAGATGCAAATTTTTATTGTTCACACAGGGGTATTTATATGCTGGGGATGGGGAAGCTCTCCTATTGGCAGTTGCTGGATGTAGGTTGTAAAACTGCCAGCTGCAGGATGTTTGCTCAAGGGAGATAACTGCAGGATGTACCAGGAAGATAGATGTTTCCCAGGCAGGCTGTTTCTTGTAAAGGTCAGGCTATTCTCAGAAAGAGAACTTCCTTCTAGCCCCTGACAAAAAATAGATAAATAAACAGATAAGTAAAACAAAAATTAAAAAGCAATTCTTACAAGAGTTTCCACATTTCTATCCTTAAGCAATCTGGACCTATCTTTTTTTTTTGGTACTGGGGATTGAAAGGACCTATATTTTTAAGATGAACTTAAACTGAATTCCCAAGAAGGGTCCTATTAGGATAAACAGCCCACAGAAGCTCCTTTTTGCATTCATATCTTACCAATGAGGGTTGTTTTGCCATTAGCCAATCAGACCTAAGCCCTTCACGCCTATTTACAACCCTCATTTGCATAGAGGACCGGAGTGGGAACTTGAGCGGGAACTGTTTGTCCTTCCCTTTGTTCTTCCAAAGGGCTCGGCTAAGGAACCCCACACGAATGTGAAGACCTTGAAACCTATTTCTCTAAATACGCAATCTCAGGGAATTGAAGTAGTTGTGGACAAGATCCATTATCAGGTTAGGAAGAACCGGGAGAGTCCTTGGAGCCACAGAAGCCTCTGGACCTGCCCATTATTATGCATACACTCACTATTCCCCAAACCGGTGTCAGAATTGGAAAAATTATGTTGCTAAAAGGCAATGTGGACACAAACACTAATTACGTAGGACACTAACTGCTTTGCATTTTGCTCTTAATTGATCAGGTATAAGACAGAAATAAAGTTTAAGGTCAGTATCATGTTTTGTTCCAACAATTTACTGTCATAATTCTTGAGTTGCAGTTCTCTCATGAAACTGTGGGTGGCTCTGAAAAGAGCCTTTGGGTTTAATAAACGCATTCGCAGCACTGTTTACTTGGAGCTGGTGTACTTGGTGACCGCCTTGGTGCCCTCCGACACAGCGTGCTTGGCCAGCTCCCCGGGCAGCAGCAGGCGCACAGCCGTCTGGATCTCCCGGGAGGTGATGGTCGAGCGTTTGTTGTAGTGCGCCAGGCGCGAGGCCTCGCCCGCGATGCGCTCAAAGATGTCGTTCACGAACGAGTTCATGATGCCCATGGCCTTGGACGAGATGCCGGTGTCCGGGTGCACCTGCTTGAGCACCTTGTACACGTAGACGGAGTAGCTCTCCTTGCGGCTGCGCTTGCGCTTCTTGCCGTCCTTCTTCTGCGCCTTGGTCACCGCCTTCTTGGAGCCCTTCTTCGGGGCGGGAGCGGACTTCGCTGGCTCAGGCATACTGGAACACAACTACCAGGATCCAAGATAGAGAAACTGTGAGCACAAGCTCAAAACACCCTTAATATTTGCTTGCTTGTATGCAAATTAAGGATTGCAGAATAACTCCTTCTCATTGGCTGTTTTACTATCTTAACCTCTCATAGGCTATTTTTGAAATCTAGCTCTTATTGGTTCTTTCCCTAACTCCACCTTACTTTGAACTTTCAACTACAAACATTTCATGTAAATTAGAGGTGTTTTTTTAAATTTTAATCATCTGCCTTTTAATTGGCTGAGACTTGTCTTCAGCTCATGGCATAGGCTACTTTGCAAAATGGCAGGAGAGTATAAAAGGCTAGCTGCTTGCGCACTTGTAAACAGATTTCCTGATTACTGTCACTTTGGTTCTCATTCTAATATGTCTGGACGCGGCAAACAAGGCGGCAAGGCGCGTGCCAAGGCCAAGACGCGCTCCTCCCGCGCCGGCCTGCAGTTCCCGGTAGGGCGAGTCCACCGCCTTCTGCGCAAGGGCAACTATGCCGAGCGGGTCGGGGCCGGCGCGCCGGTGTACCTGGCGGCGGTGCTAGAGTACCTGACGGCCGAGATCCTGGAGCTGGCTGGCAACGCGGCCCGCGACAACAAGAAGACGCGCATCATCCCGCGCCACCTGCAGCTGGCCATCCGCAACGACGAGGAGCTTAACAAGCTGTTAGGCCGCGTGACCATCGCGCAGGGCGGTGTCCTGCCCAACATCCAGGCAGTGCTGCTGCCCAAGAAGACCGAGAGCCACCATAAGGCTAAAGCCAAGTGAAGCAACCAAAGTCTGTGTGTAGCTACCTAAGACCCAAAGGCTCTTTTCAGAGCCATCCACATTTACATTTAAAGAGCTTTGTAACAGGCTTTACCTAGTTTTCGTAGCACAGTAGGTAAACTTTATGTACCTGATCAGAACCCTTAAGGTCACTCGCTATACCCGTGGCTGAAGGAAAATGAGACGCCCTGAAAGCTGTGAGGAAGGAAAATGAGAAAAATTTTTAATTGCTTTCAAGTAAAGACTGGTAGGGGCATACAAATTACGCCCAAATTTTCCGAAATCGAGGGTTGGATTAGATCACAGCTTCCGTTGTCCTTTATTCTTAGAATATTTCTCTAGCAAAGGAAACTGAAAATAAACGAATGATTTTTGAGTTTGTGGAAAAGGTACCCGAGGAATATGCTACCTGGACTGCTAAAAACAGCGCAATGTAAGATTCTTGAAAAGTAAGCCCGAGCTTTCACCTTAACCTAGGGTATCCGGCAAAACTCCATTCCATTTGGGCTAGCTTTCGCATGTCAGTTAACACTTGCCCAGTGATGCTGGGGCCAGGCATTTGCCGGTAATGTCCCAGGTACTGCATCCAGAAATCCTATGTATATAAAGGTCAAAGCTTCCACAAGTTGAATCTAGGCGCGGGCAGTGGAGGTGCCGAGAGGGAACCCCCCCCCCCCCAAATACATCCGTTCTTAAAGCGTTAGGAATCTAGTCCCACCACACACCAAACAAATGAGAAGTAGCATATTCCAAGACCTTCTAAGTGGTTCCTTAGTTCCACTCTAGACATCTAGGAAATTAACTCCCTGGGTCACAGACAAAAGTTGAGGAATTGGCAGGAGAAGTAATTCATCCAATCAGAGCCTTCAGCAATTTACCAATCACCTTGTTGATTCCGTAGCCAATGGCTTTATTGCGCGCGAGTTTTGAAAACCAAGGAGACCAATCAGAATGTTTCTGAGTGTATATAACCATAATCTCTTCTGGCACAACTTCTAAGCCTTTGTTGTTTTCTCTTTCTCTGCTATGGCCCGCACAAAGCAAACCGCTCGCAAGTCCACCGGCGGCAAGGCGCCGCGCAAGCAGCTGGCCACCAAGGCCGCCCGCAAGAGCGCCCCGGCCACCGGCGGCGTCAAGAAGCCTCACCGCTACCGGCCCGGCACCGTGGCGCTGCGCGAGATCCGCCGCTACCAGAAGTCCACCGAGCTGCTGATCCGCAAGCTGCCGTTCCAGCGCCTGGTGCGCGAGATCGCGCAGGACTTCAAGACCGACCTGCGCTTCCAGAGCTCGGCCGTCATGGCGCTGCAGGAGGCCTGCGAGGCCTACCTGGTGGGGCTGTTCGAGGACACCAACCTGTGCGCCATCCACGCCAAGCGCGTCACCATCATGCCCAAAGACATCCAGCTGGCCCGCCGTATCCGCGGGGAGAGGGCGTAAAGCTCCCTTCCCTTGCCTTTCCTTTACCTAGCAAACGCAAAGGCTCTTCTAAGAGCCACCCACTTTGCTGAAACTGCTGTAATAACTTTGGTTAGTTGATGTTGGAAGGTATGAATACTATTCGTTTCTTAGAATGTCGTATCACCCTTTGCTTAGTGTGTACCCAATTTCATAAGTGCGGATTATGTTAACTCCGAAGTTTGGGAGTGACAGGCCTGTTAGATAACTGGCTTGGTGAGTGGCAGTCCTGGGAACAAACGGATGCAGAACATCATTTTAGTTAAACATCCTTTTAGATGGAAATTTTGTACCTATTGTTTTCTAATGTCTTAAGACCAAGGAAAAGGAAATTGTCTCCTGAGAGTTCGGCAATTTCGGGACCAAAAAATGACAGGTAAAGGTTGGTTAGTAGAGCTTGTTCATTTTTTGTGTGCATCTCCATGCATCTAGGTGAGAGTTGTCTTTAAGTGGTTAGGGTAATGAGGGGTGGTAGGGAACTTCCTTACTTTCTTGGGAAACTTGTGCCCTTTTATGCAAATGGAGAGGGAAAAAAGTCCTCTCCTTTGTATTTAATTTTGTACTGGGAATTATGTGTTCAATCACTGAGCTGCATCCCCAGACCCTCTTTGTTTTTACTTTGAAACAGGGTCTCTAAGTTACTGAGGGCCTGTTTAAGTTGCTGAGGCTGGCCTTTAACTTGAGATCCCCATGCCTCAGCCTTTGGAGTTGCTGGGATTACAGGTGTGGGTCACTGCAGCGGACTAGTATCTGCTTCTTCATTCCTTTAACAATCATATTGGAATGGCATATTTTTTTTTTTTACAGTTTTTTACAGAGGCCATTGGAAGGGATCTAACTTTTGCTGTAGATGAGATGCACAGCACTAGAGGAGTAGAGCTCAAGAGTCTCTGTATTTCTCTCATTTAAGCAGCTTCTTTATTTTTAGTCTCAATTGTGCTCCACTGTGAAAAGTAGGACTTGGTTTCTTTTTCTTTTTTTGGATCTGTTAGATGAAGGCTGATCTGGAGCTTTTTTTCAGTAGGAGACAGAATGTGCCATTCTAAAAATGTTCCTTTGGCACAAGGATTGTGGATCTGAAGGTAATTAAGCAGGAGAAGATGAAGAATAATTCTGCTTGGTCCTTTTTCTCTTGTCTTGGCTGGCACTTCTCTAAAAATTTACTATTCTTTTTTGAAGGTGCTCTGTAAGCCTGAATTCAAAGCCACTTCTTTAAAAAACTACTCTCTCTGGGTGTCCTCGATGTGAAGCCAGAATTAGGCAGTTAGTATAGATAGGTAAATGGAGTCAGGCCAATTTTGAGTGAGTCCCAGCAAGTTGGAGACTATCCCCTGAGGGATTGAGACGTTAACTCCTCCAGAGCCCTTCCTCCACCCTTATCCAGAACCTGTCCCTGCTCCAATCTATTGCCAAGGTCACCTGTCCCAGGAGTTGCCCCTCCCTACAGAGAGCTAATTGTTAATTAATGTGTCCTGTACTGCTCCACCCTGCCCTTCCCCTTTCAGCCCACCTGTTTCCCACCTTTGGACCATTCCACCGAGCATTCCTGGGCCTAGTCACCTTCAGGAAGGAGAAAGGTAAGGGGGAAAGGCAGGAGAACAGAGGAAGCCTGGGACATATAAAAAGGGCAGAACACCTGGGATACCAGGACACAAGCTATGGCCCCTTCTGCCTCCCAGGAGAAGTCTATGTGACCTATTTTAAATAAACCCTGCTTTCTATGCTTGCTTTCCTAATGTTCAGACTTCAACATGTGAGGGAGCAGAACCCCGATAACCAGCAGCATCACATGTATATCTGTGAAACATGTAGATTAGTCTTCTGAAGTTTTCTCTTGGATATCTCTTCTTATGGCATCTGTTCTAACTAAGAATTTAAGAGTTAAGGAAAACATTATGTTTTCTTCCCTAAAAAAACAGAGAGAGAGCAAAAGCCTATAAGAGTTAGTGTTGGGATGAGTTTAAATCCTACTGATAGTACTTCTGCTTACCAGCTTTATGGCCACAGGCAAATTGGCTGGCCCTGGTAAGACACTAGATTTATAAAGATTGCACATCACAATGACTTTAAGGACCAGGTAAGCCTTCATTGTATAGGGACAGTGGTGAGTGGAAGAAAAGTGGTGCAGGACTCATCAAACACATACCTGGGATAAGAAGTGGGTTTATTGTCAGGAGCCTGACAAAGGGGCTCTGCACAAAGAGAGGGACAGCAGCAGTGACTCTCCTTTGAATGTTACCTTTTATAGGCAGGAACGGGGGGGGGGGGGGGGGGGGGAAGGGGCGACTTTAGTCTTGATTGACATAGTAAGAATCTCTTGATCTTGTGGAAGGCAAGTTTGTTTCTTGGGAACAGAGACAAGCAGTTTTCCTATCGCTCAGAGGAGGAACACGAAAACGGGCAGGTCTCTTTATCTTAAGGAGAGAACAGGGAACCAGTATGTTCCCATCTCAGGGGCTGGTAACTTGTCTCCTATCTCTCAGTATTGTGGGCGACAGAAAGTATTCTTTCCCCGAAAAAAAATGTGTGTGTGTGTGTGTGTGTGTGTGTGAGTTTTAGGAAAAAAAAAAAAAAGATGAAGAATGCATACAAAAGAACAGCCCACTGGGAAAAATGCAGAGAAAAGGCCACACTAACAACAAAGGAGGCTAGGAAATGAGGCCCACTGTGGAACAATGAGGAAGAAGGAGATTAACAGCTAGTGAGCCCATATGTCTGAAGGTTTACAGAGTTTACGTGGAACTGAGGACCAAGAGTTAGTGTCATATGTCTGTCATTTTAAGTATTATCTCTTGCTCTAAATTCCTTTCCAGATTTCCAAAAACCTTGTTTTCTACAATCTGTATGACAAAAGCTCTGTTCTTTCTTGATAGTAGTAGTAAGAGCTGTGAAATAGAAGTAAAGAGTCTGTCGGGCCCAACTCTAAATGAGCTTGTACAAGTCAAATCATCACTATGAACCTTACTGTATTATCTTACTTAGCAAATGAAGAAACACAGTATGATTCTGCATGCGTAAGGCCACCTAGATGGAAAATGATGACATGCATTTCAACTTGGGCAGCCGACTTTAAAACTCTGCGATTTTAAGTATGTTCCATTTTTTTCCTATAGTTGTATTCATTATTAGTTTCCTGATGGGACAATGTTTCATGTTGTAGATAACGGGGACCAAATCTGGTTCACCTTTGTGGTATGACTGAGTGATAGATGTAGTTGAATGAGGTGGGCAATTCAGAAGGATAACTTTGAGGGACATGGAAGAGTATCTTAAAATGAGAGAGCTGAGTGTTTAGAGCCATAAGCAAGGCTGCATATTATGGAGGGGATCGTCAGTGTGGTCAGGGTTCTCTGGAGGAACAGAACTGATAGGAAACTCCCCCTACTCCCCAGATTTATTAGAGTGGCTCACACTATCAGAGGCTGGATAGTCTCATAATTGCTGTCTATAGGCCAAAAATTGTGGAAACCAGTAGCTGCTCCATCCAAGAAGCTGGAGCCTTAGAACAAGAGGGACAAATGATGCAGCCCCAGTCTGAGGCTAAATACCTGGAAACTCCCTAGAGAATTGCTGAGGCAGTCCATGTGAAAGGTGGAAGAAGCTGCAGTTGGGTGACCTCAGGCAATGGCGGCTGCAAGCCAAAACCTGCCTACAGGTGCTGACGGGCTTCCTCCTCCTTCCATATGTTCCATCTGGGCCCCCAGAGTATTGGATGGTACTGCCCTTAGTTTGCTGTTCCACATACCAAAGGTGTCTGGAAACCCTCATAGACACACACAGAAGTGCTTCACTAATTTCCTAGGCATCTTTCAGTCCAGTTAGGTTGATAATCAAGATTGGCCATAACAAGTCCAACTGTTGTCACCTGCATATAACCAAAACTACATTAATTCCTCCCACAGAGTAGAGGGAAAATTCTTTTTTTTTTTTTTTTTTTTGAGTGATTACACTTTTCTTGACATCCAATAACTTATAGAATAAAGTACATTTAATGACACAGAAGTACTGACAATATGTGGGATGTGGGATGTGGCTCAAGTGGTAACATGCTTGCCTGGCATGAGCGGGGCTCGGTTTGATCCTCAGCACCACATAAAAATGAAATAAAGATGTTGTGTCCACCAAAAACTAAAAAATAAATATTAAAAAATTCTCTCTCTCTCTCTCTCTCCTCTCTCTCAAAATAAATAAATAAATAAATAAATATCATGTTACATGACAAAAGAATAAGAAAGAAAAGAACTCAAAGATATCTGTTCAATATATTTGTAGATATGCACAAACAGGCTAACAAAATAGGAGATCCTCTTTATAATATCATTTGTTTAGCTGGTCATATTGTAGCTGTTATTTGTAGTCACCTTATTTGCTACCCATTCTACCTTCAGCAAGCACTACAGCAGGTCTTGGTTCTTTACCTAGAGTGAGTGGTGACCCACAGCTACATTCCTGAAGGGCCTGGGCCATTTCTCAGTCTGACTGAATTGGGTTGTTGTAGTTTCCCTTCGACCTTAGTAATAGGATATGGTAATACCAAGAGACGTCCTAAAGGATCCCTGGCATTCAAGGCATACTCTTCTTTACCTCAATTGTTGGAATAAAAGTCCAGTTTCCCCATGGTAATCTGTATCAGTCACCCCTGCCAACACCATAACTCTGTTCTTAGCCTGTTGCTCAGGAAGTATTACTTTCAGGTTGATGGGATATCGCTGTTGTGCCTCTTGCTAGAAGCATTCCCCCTTCTGGAGCTAAGACTACTAAGCCAGCAGAGCACAAGGATATAAGGACAGGAAGCAAACATTGCTTAAGGGTCATAGTGAGTGGTACCATTCTGGTTTCTATCCCTTAATCCCTGAATCTCTGAATCCTAGAGAAACAGTACCATATAGAGTGGATACTGATTTAGAGCAGATGTAGTCTTCTGGAGAACCCTGCCCCAGCCCTGCAAGGTATGGCTGCCTGGCCTGGAGTTGTAACTGTGTCTTCCAAAGGCCATTCCACTGTTCTGTCAAACCAGTTGTTCAGAATGATGAAGAACATGGAGAGTCCAGTGCCATATTTCTTTGTGAAGTGAGTTCCTCGGTCAGAAGCAAGGTTGAACATCTCCACAGTGGATAAGGCATTCTGTAAGTCCACAGATGATAGTGTTTGCAGAAAAAGCGAATCCATACTCAGCCTAAGTACCTATCCCAGTGCTGCTCCTCCTCTTATGGAAGTGGTTCAATGAAATCAACCTGCTTACTAGGTCACTGGCTAATCACCCATGGGAGTGATCTCATAATAGGGGCTTAGTGTTGGTCTCTGCTGCTAGCAAGTAGTGGCCATGGCCAGGTCAGCCTTGATGAATGGAAGTCCATGTGGCTGAACCCACCATGCATAACCTCCATCCCTGCCACCATGGCCAATGTGTTCAAGAGTCCATTGGGCAATGACAGGGAAAGAGGTTGACTGCTATACAGGCTGAGTCATCCTACCCACTTGATTATTAGTCTTCCTCTGCTGACGTCACCTGTGGTGAACACTTACAAGGGACACAAAAGTCTTCACATCCTTCCCTCACATGAAAGAGATTTATCCATGTATCTCTTCCCCAAATGACTTTGTCACTCGTTTTCCAATCATGTTATTTCCAGTCCCTAACTGCTGTCTATAATCGATCAGTATATGGTTGCACATCTTGCCATTTTTCTTTCCAAGCAAAATGTACAACCAGGTGCCTTTTTCTTACAAGTCTCAGTCTTCTCATTCATATTAAAAATAGATTTGAGTTTTGTCTACATCTCACAAACTTCTTGCTTACCCACTTACACTTTTTAGAACTTTCCTATTTAGTATAAATTGCTTCATAAGTGTTTCATCCATCCCATTTCTTGTAGTGCAGGTCCTCCATGGAAGAACTCAAAAGCAGAATACATCTGAGAATTCAATAATAAAAGATAAACTCCTTTTTTTTTTTTTTTTAAATAAATGTGGTTCTTTTCACTTTTACATGACAGTAGAATGCATCTTGACATAATTTTATATAAGCATGGGATATATGCTCCTTACATAGGAGATGACTTCCCTGAGGATACCATAGTTCTAATTCCAGGCAGGCCTGAGTTAGACAATTTTACAAGAGAGAAATAGACCTTTACTTTTATTGATTACTATTTATTTTACATCATCATTTCCATGGATATCTGATACTTAATACAGGTGAACAGTAAAACAAAAAACAATTTCTTTAAAAAATACTTAAGATGAATAATGCACAATATTAGTTGTCAACATCATATTACTTTCTATACAATGTAAGGCACTGAACTAAGGACATCTATGAAATTCCTTCTACCAGTGATCAAACATGGCCATGTCACAGTATACATGGGTGGCCCTCAACTGTAAACATGCATGTTTGGGGAGTCATTCTCAGGTTAAAGACAAAAGAAACTTCACCAAGGTAGGATAGAAGGAATGCTAATTATTAGATCCCAATCCCACCTGGGCTACACACTAACACTGTGCACTTTTTACTTTTAGGACCTGAAAACTCCACCCTCATCATCATGCTAACCCCGTTTTCTGAAAATGTAACTCTAAAATCCATGAAGGCCCATTTCACCAACACAGAACATTCACCTTTATTAACTCCAAGCAACCATATTTCTTTACTCCGTAAATATCCTAAAAATCCTCTGGGAAGGAATAGATTTAAGGTGTGGGTACCCTACCAGACAAGGATTCCTTGCTAACTTACCTTTAGGTTGCAAACTTTGATTCATTGAAATTTGATTAAGAGCAACAGGCCTAATTAAGTGATAGGGCACACCTTGAGCTCACTGCTCTTCCAATGGTGAAACAAATTTGAACACATCCAACCTAACAATTCCTTGTAGACTGCAATAGCAGTAAAGTATTACAGCTCTCGTTTGAGATTTGGGTGGCTCTGAAAAGAGCCTTTGGATTTGACAATGTCTCTAGGAGATCTTACTTGGAGCTGGTGTACTTGGTGACCGCCTTAGTGCCCTCCGACACAGCGTGCTTGGCCAGCTCCCCGGGCAGTAGCAGGCGCACAGCCGTCTGGATCTCCCGCGACGTGATGGTCGAGCGCTTGTTGTAGTGCGCCAGGCGCGAGGCCTCGCCCGCGATGCGCTCAAAGATGTCGTTCACGAACGAGTTCATGATGCCCATGGCCTTGGACGAGATGCCGGTGTCCGGGTGCACCTGCTTGAGCACCTTGTACACGTAGACGGAGTAGCTCTCCTTGCGGCTGCGCTTGCGCTTCTTGCCGTCCTTCTTCTGCGCCTTGGTCACCGCCTTCTTGGAGCCCTTCTTCGGGGCGGGAGCGGACTTGGCCGGTTCAGGCATGGCGAGAAGGAACGGGGAAACTAGAGAATAATGAGTGCTTACCCGCCAGGGCGCATTTTTGTAGGTGGTGTATGCAAATTGGGTATAATATCTCACCATTCCTGATTGGACCAAATCAGCCAATAGAAGGTTTTATGCAAATAAGGGAAATCCAAATACACTTTCTGATTGGCTTTCTTTGTGAAACCTATTCTAAATTATTTTATTGTTTACCAGTAAAGTTTTTGTTTTCAAAATACCTAAAAACCGAAAATATATGCAATGGTACGTAGTGGGAAGCTCTGCCTTCCTAGATCGAGGTCTGAACATGCATAAAAGGCAGACAGTCTATACCGATAATTCTTGTATAAAGTGATCAAAGTTGGCAGCAATCTTAAAGGTTTTTCAAAAAATAAAGGGTCCATACGTTTCAATACTGGTGTGATTTTAATGTTCCCTAACAGTTTCTGGTAGCGATGCCAGTGTTGGAAGGCTGAGAAGTGTGAAATAGAATGCTTGTAATGAATGATAAGATGTGACTGTAAAGTCTGAAGTTTTAATAAAAGGCAAAGAACACAACAGGTGGATCAGACAGGTTCAAATGCGGACTTGTTTAAACCTCTCGGGATCTACAGAACATTCATTTCCGGGTCTTCCCACTAATTCCCAAAGGAGGGTTAAAACTCGCAGGCACCTAATACAGAAAGCCACCAAACATAATAAAGAATAGAAAAGACCCTACCGCTAATTGAATACTTTTCAAAAGGTTGACGTTTTCTAACGCGAGACTCCGTAGCCAATCACAAGTCTGATCGAGTTACTTAATTCTTGGCGCGTAATTTGAAGAATCGGACCAATCAGGAGGACGTTACCATTATAAATAAGAGGAACAACAATTTTGTGTCCAGTTGGTAATTCCGTTCACCATGGCCCGTACTAAGCAGACGGCCCGTAAGTCCACCGGCGGCAAAGCGCCGCGCAAGCAGCTGGCCACCAAGGCCGCCCGCAAGAGCGCCCCGGCCACCGGCGGCGTCAAGAAGCCTCACCGCTACCGGCCCGGCACCGTGGCGCTGCGCGAGATCCGCCGCTACCAGAAGTCCACCGAGCTGCTGATCCGCAAGCTGCCGTTCCAGCGCCTGGTGCGCGAGATCGCGCAGGACTTCAAGACCGACCTGCGCTTCCAGAGCTCGGCCGTCATGGCGCTGCAGGAGGCCAGCGAGGCCTACCTGGTGGGGCTGTTCGAGGACACCAACCTGTGCGCCATCCACGCCAAGCGCGTCACCATCATGCCCAAGGACATCCAGCTGGCGCGCCGCATCCGCGGGGAAAGGGCGTAAAGCCCTTTTTTTTTTTTCTTTTACGAGTGTTCGAAAACCAAAGGCTCTTTTAAGAGCCACTTTTCAATTTCACTTTAAGGACTGCTTCTTCATTGCTTATCTTAACCTGGTTGTGATCATTTGAGGGAGTTCTTAGCTGCAGTTCACTCCGCGCCCCCTACCCTCCCTGCCGAACGACCTGCCTGGGTTCCTAGTTGCACTGTGTGCTGCGTGGAAGTCTTGCTTTAGCTTTTTGAATTTTACTTATCCTCCCCTTTCCTTTCTTTCAGCTGCTTGGTAAGTGAAAGCTCAGGCAGCAGTCGGCTGTAAACCTGCGTTTTGCTATTGTAGATGGTTCCTTTGCAGAGTATGTTGATGGGAGCCATTCCAGCTCCAAGATGCTGGTAAGGAGCATGTGTGTCATTGCCTTGTTCTAGTTCCATACTCAGAAGTTAGCCAAAGGAACAGGATATATATGGAAATAGACATTTCAGCAATTCTGGCAAAGATTAGAAAGATCATCAGTGTTAACATACGAGGGTCAGTAGGTAGTAATGCCAGAGACTGGGAACAGATAAATCCAGAAACATCCAGAAAAACAGACCTGTCAGTTGTCTGAGTAAAAAGGGTCTCCTGCACATTGAGAAACTCAGAATTAACTTTATGCTGTGATATGTATGTCATCTAGGTGTGACATGACCCAAGAGTGTTCTGTCTACTGCTACCATCCATGAAAGATTTATAGGTTAGCGTATGACCTTGCAAGTAGGGTAGGATTCCAGACTCTTCGCAGACCCTCACAGTCAGAAAAAATGGCAGAAAGGGACCTGCATTTTATTCCAGGCCAAACTTCACTTGCTGCCTGCCCCTTATTGTTGACATTATCAGGCCCAGAGTGAGTATTATGCTTTCAGTCTCAGATTCTCTTGTGTTTTAGTCCTGTGTAGTTGTTCAGACTCTTAGGAAACAGTCACCCATACACTGAAGAATTTATGAAGAAGAATACTAATGTGTTGATAATAAAATAGATGCATATCTGGAATTGTGGACTCAGAGCTGAGGATTTCAGAGACCTTGACCAGAATTACAGAGAAAGATTGAGGGACTTGTTTTAGTTCATCTTGCCTCTTAGGAATGAAGTTCAGATGTTCTGAGAAAAGGCTGGGTTCATTCTACTTAATGTCTGCTTTGCAGGTAACTATATCTTTGTGCACAGATTGTGGTTAAGTCCAACAAGACTCAGGATTTAAGATGTATGTTCCTCCAGATCTCATGGTTTTGCTTTTAACTGTTACACTAATATATGGACACTCTTGGTCAAATACTGGCATTGTAGTAGGAGAGATTTAGAGGAAAAGATTTGGGTTTCCTTTGGGGAAATTTCCCCTATTTTAATTTACATTCATAGGTCCTTATTTTCCACTTTGTGTTAGTACTCTCTTTGGCACTGGTGTTGCAGTGACAAGCTGAAAGGGGCCTTGTCAGAGTTTTTGTTCTCATGAAAGAAGACAGAAGATAGAAAATAGATGCATCAGCTTGGTAATTTGGTTGGTAAACAATGGTATGAAGAAATACACAATATGACACAGAGGGTGTCACACTCAATACCTGGGGAGTGGGCTGTCATATTATACAGGGAAGGAGGAGCTGGTATTTAATTATTGGATTTGAGGTAAGGTAGGGAGCCAGGACAAGGATTTTCCAGTACATAGGATGGACAAAAGGAAGTTGAGATGAGAAAATGTTTTTCTTTCAGGAGCAAAAGGCAGCCAGTACAGCTCCTTCTTATATTTCCAAAATGCATAAAAATCTGTGCTTACTATGTCACATCTCCTGACTGACCCTGCAGCCATTCTCTACTAGGACCTTTATGATTATACTGGCCTACTCAGGCAATAGAGAATCATCACCTACGCTTCAGGGTCTTAAGTCTCTTCTAACATAACAGGGAAACATTTTCACTTCTGAGGATTAGGGCATGAGCATCTTTGGAGAGGAAAAGCCATTATTCTGCCTACAACAACTATTATGGGGCATAAAGCATTTTATTATTAAGAGTCCCTTAAACATACAATCCTCTACCAGAAATCAGTTAAAACTTCTTTCTTCCCCAAAAGCTCTATATCCTTTGTTGTAGGCAGACTCTGGTTATCTTGATATTTAAAGGAAGTAGTGTTCTTGGGAAAGCCAGATTCATGCCTGAAAATACATCCAGAAGTAAAATCCAAAAGGGTGCTGCAGAAGGGGCCTGCTGCTGGTGTGTCACTTCACCACTTGGAAGCCAACACTGCCATCACTACCCCAGGTTGGCTTTTCTCCCAGAAGCAGAGGCTCCAAGAAGTCCTAGAAGTGTGACTGATTAGTGGCAGCCTTTCATGACAATGTGGGTGGCCCTGAGAAGGGCCTTTTGTGAGGTCAGGTAGCCAGTATATAATAAAATATTAACCACCGAAGCCGTAGAGCGTGCGGCCCTGGCGCTTGAGCGCGTAGACCACGTCCATGGCCGTGACCGTCTTGCGCTTGGCGTGCTCCGTGTAGGTGACGGCGTCGCGGATCACGTTCTCCAGGAACACCTTGAGCACGCCGCGGGTCTCCTCGTAGATGAGCCCAGAGATGCGCTTGACGCCGCCACGGCGGGCCAGGCGGCGGATGGCGGGCTTGGTGATGCCCTGGATGTTGTCCCGCAGGACTTTACGATGGCGCTTGGCGCCGCCTTTGCCTAGGCCTTTGCCTCCTTTTCCGCGGCCAGACATGTTTGCAACAGCTAGTTCCCGCAGTTATGATGCTAGGCGCCCCCTGCAGCAACTTATGAAGCACCAGTGCGGACCTTTTTGGAAACTGAAAGAGCGCGGGCGGGAACACTGGCCTCTGTCCCCGCCTCTTTTCTGGTTTAGCCACAGTATGGCCTTTGGAGCAAGGAAATGGATATTGAGTGGAGGGGAAAGGCAGCTTTGTGCTCTTGTTTCTGGGAGTCAGGTCGGGAGTCCTCCAGGATGATTAGTGCATGTCCAGGTCCTCTCTCACAACTGATGTGCAAGTCCAGACTTATGATTTGGAAAGAGGAGCCTCTAGTGCTACCCTTGAGTACAAGAACGAGAGTTGCCAGAACAAAAATAAATTTTAAATTGAAAGTTTCTTTAAAAAAACGAAATCACTAGTTTAAAAAAAAATTTTGAGGGTGCTAGGGATTGAATTCAGGGATGCTGTACGTCTGCGTTACATTCACATCCCTTTTCATTTTTATTTTTTATTTTGAACTGTTCTCACCAAGTGACCCAAGCTGGCCTCAAATGTGCAATACTCAAATCTTAGCCGCCCATGAAGCTGGGATTACAAGTGTGGGCCACTGTGCCTGGCTAGTATTTTAAATTTTTATGCTCTACCAATAGTCATGATTAAATTTGATCACTCATGAAATGTTACATTTAGCTGAGTTCTATACCACTACATGAGGTATATACACCTACTACTTATAAGTAGCTCTAGTAAGGGGAGCCAGTGTCAATTGCATTTCCATTCTTTACCACTTTGTAAAGGGATGTCAGTATTATAAAGATGAAAGCTCCCAGGCTTGGAGATCTGATCCTCTTTGACTAAGTGGTAATGTGGTGTCTGATTCTTGAATCTCCTGACCTTCCCACTTTCTATACTAGGAGACACATTTACTAGCATGTCATAATGAATGGCACTTGCAAATTCATGTTTAACAGACAATGCTAATAAGTTATGTGGAATACTGTCCAAGTACAAAGTGACCAAAGTCATGTTCTATTCAGATCATGATTTTGTATGTATTTTAGGCACATTTCAACATTTGCTTCCTCATTGGTCTCATTTGCATTCAGTGCTTTTCATATCATAGGGGAAGATGATTTCTCAAAATCCCTTCTTTGTGGGTGTATGCTTTGTAGATAGAGAAAACAGTCATCTCCTGGACCCAGTGTCTACTTGGGATTAGGCTTTTACCATTCATATAAGTTTGAAAAGAAGTGTTCTGAACTGTGATTCTTACACTTCACCTTTCTGTGCTTATTTAAATTTAAACTAAAATTAAAAATTTCTTCAGCTACTGTATCCACTATTCATTAGACAGTGCAGATAGAGAATATTTTCTCATTGCTGAATGTTCTTCTGGTCTGTGCTGTGATAAGGGATTTCTTTAGAGGAACTTCTATTCCATTGTAGGGGAGTGTGGTGCATACTTGACAAGGAGTCTCACTGGAGGAAGTGAGGATATAGAGTATTTCCTCAAGTGTGATAGAAATAAGCCAGCTTTGGGATGCATCAGGCATCATAGATCGGAAAAAGACATAAAAAATTTTGAAAGTTTAAAAGTAGTGGTATCTTTTTTAGAAAATATAATTAATATGCCATATTTGTGCTCTCAGGGGAATTTCTAGTGGGCAGTATCCTCACGTAAGGCCATTTGGTAAGAAGCGACATTAGGTCTGATTTCTTATTTTCCTATAGACCTTTCAAGCACATTTGGTTCTAACAACACTGCATCTTCCTTTTAGTCCTTGCATTGCTGCTTTTGGCATTCATTCTGTGTAGATATTTACCTCTTGAAGCCTCTGATGTTCACTGAATTTTAAAATGCTTAAGCATAGCCCCTGTGAAATAACCTAGTGACCAATACCTTAGCCATTCATTGTGGAGGTGAAATTAATATAAAAGTTAGAGAACGTGAAGCCATGTGTTAGATTGCCATAGCTTCTAATATTTACATGTATAAAAATAATTAATGTTAGTGTAGAGAATAACCTATCATTTTAGATTTAATCTATGGATCTAGATATGAATGTTTGTATATAGATTTGAGTTTCCAAAGAGAAATTCCTTTTTTTTTTTTTTAGGGCTAACTACCAAAGTAATAGGTGAAACTTGTTTTTGACTTTTAGTTTATAGTCCCAGGTGTGATCCATCTGTCAGGAACTCTGCCCATGTTACAATTTACAAAGAAGCAATAATAGAGCAACTATATTCCACACAAAGCCTTCTATAAAAATGTGACTAGGAACTTTGCTAGTGACATCAATTCTCATTTTTTGCCCTCCAAGAAAGGCAGAGGTTATATACCAAAAAATAAAGAAATATCCATTAGCCCCAAGGTTTTCTCATTTATAGGGAACCTAAATAACCATGAGAACCAGTAACAGTTGCCCAAGAATGAAATGGTGACATCTGCTAAGGAAATATATGTGAACAATTCTAGCAATTATTAGACAAATCCTGTTATGTCTTTGAGAATGTCCTGCATTTTATTAGTATCTTGAAGTCTACATAATGTAAATCTATACATTTAAGAAGAAAAGTACTTATATAATGTCTCTTCCTGCTGCTAGTGATGAAAGATGCTACAGAGGATGATCTTCCATAGATCCATAAAATGTTTCCTAGAAGAATTATACGCAGCTGCTGATGCAGTCCTATTAGATGGCATCCTTTAGAACTCCTATTTGTATTTTATGTTACATATCATGGTTTAAGGTCCCAGAGATTTGATTCCAGCCAATATAGTCTAAAAAAACGAGAGGACTTCATTTTTATGGAATTGGTTAAGTGTGAAGACATGGCATCTGTAATGTTGATTATTCTGTCTTGGATTTACATGACAAAATGTTCAAGTCATCATTAAATGAAAGTCAGCATGAATCAGTTGTTGGAAGTATAAATACTCATTAAAAGAAACAGAACACTAAGATAGTTTTCCTCTTTATTTTACAAACATGGGGCTTCATTTTGGTACCTGATTACTTGATGAAAAATATTGCTTTTGTGCTTAGTTAAATAAGAACCCAATTCTATCAGCTCTATTGTATTATAAACTATAAGGGATGCTGTAGGAAAACCACTCATGTTTGTTCAATACCTTGAGTGTTGAACACATTCAGGTAATTAGAATTAAATAACTTGTGGCATCCTATTTCATATTTCACATGCGAAAAGCTCAGTCAGAATCATGAAATTTCAGAAAGTGATTTTTTCTAATCCTCTGTGTTCACATTTTCAATATTGAAATTTGAAGTAGCATATTTTGAGAAATAGGAAATGTGTACAACATTCTAGTTTAAAGATCGGAGAGGAAAAAGTTTTATGACAAAGGTGCCTGTCATTAAACTATATTAAAGAAGTTAGTAAAATGATGTAGAACTGCCATTGTATTGCTTCTTGATTCAGTTTTCTGTCTTTTTTGCAGATGGGGTAATTGATCTCTAATGCTCAATGTTTGTTTGGAAAATCTATTTAGAAATGTTTACCTAGAAGATGAAGGGAGGTGCCTCACTCCCATCTTTGGAAACTGTTTAAATCACTAAAACAGACTCATCAGCCCAACTTATACAGTGGTATTTAAAATGCTTTTAAAAAAATCTATTATTTTTCTAAAATAATCATCCCTCTTGTATGTAGAAGTTTCTATCCCAGTGCCAATTCCTAGAGCTTGGTGCAAACAGCTCGCGGGAGTGCCTGTGTTATTGCTTCCGCGAAAAACCCGAATTTCCCTATATATCTGAGTCAAAATTAGTATATTTATATGATCTTGAGAAGATGAAAATGCACAGAACAATACTAAAAAAAAAAGATTTGCAAACGAAGTCGGGAGAAATAGTATTTTTGAGGAAAACCTGAAAGTTGTGTCAATTTGACTGAAGTTAGAAAGAGAGTTGGGGGAATTGGGAAAGTTTCAGGGTGTCGGTTTTGAAACTAGATGTAGAAAACAAGGCAGGAATGAAGCCTGAAGCCTCTGGGATCCATTTTCCCCAAACCCCTAAACGTTTCGTGCCCAGGTTTCTTTTATTTTTATTCTTTTTTGAGGGGCAACAAACACAGCTGCCCGGCAGAGCCGAGGAACCCTCTCCACTGCGCGGCGCAAGGCACCGGGAACCAATCACCACGCAGCTTCTCTCTATATAAACCCCAGCCGCCGGCGCCCAGCACTCGCCGTTCTGACAGTTTGAGCTTACTTTTAGCTTTTTCTGGCAAGACTAGAAACATGTCCGAGACCGCTCCCGTGCCTCCCGCAGCACCCGCACCTGCGGAGAAGACACCTGTGAAGAAGAAGGCAAAAAAGGCTGGTGCCGCTGCTGGGAAGCGCAAGGCCTCCGGGCCCCCGGTGTCCGAGCTCATCACCAAGGCCGTGGCCGCCTCCAAGGAGCGCAGCGGCGTGTCCCTGGCCGCGCTCAAGAAGGCGCTGGCGGCCGCTGGCTACGACGTGGAGAAGAACAACAGCCGCATCAAGCTGGGCCTCAAGAGCCTGGTGAGCAAGGGCACCCTGGTGCAGACCAAGGGCACCGGCGCCTCCGGCTCCTTCAAGCTCAACAAGAAGGCGGCCTCCGGGGAAGCCAAGCCTAAAACAAAAAAGGCGGGAGCCGCCAAGGCTAAGAAGCCAGCCGGCGCGGCCAAGAAGCCCAAGAAAGCGCCGAGCGCCGCCACCCCCAAGAAGACCGCCAAGAAGACCCCAAAGAAGGCGAAGAAGCCCACCACTCCTGCAGGTGCCAAGAAGGTGGCCAAGAGCCCCAAAAAGGTGAAAGCTGCTAAGCCAAAGAAGGCTGCGAAGAGTCCGTCTAAGGCCAAGGCCCCAAAGCCCAAGGCAGCTAAACCTAAGGCGGCTAAGCCCAAGGTTTCCAAGGCCAAGAAGGCGGCCCCCAGGAAGAAGTAAGATTGGAGCGGGACGTCCTGCTTTTAAAATCTCAACGGCTCTTTTCAGAGCCACCCACAGATCTCACTAAAAAGAGCTGAGCTGGTCTGGACATACATAAGAACGTGTTCTTAGTTTTGGCCCTAACATTTTAAGTTTAGAATTTGAACTCCCGCCTTGTCATGTGATTGGCCATTTTAATGCGCATGGCGCCACCGCTGCGCGCATGGTTAGACTTACTAATGCAGCCCAGTCCAATGCAGCCGGTTGGCCTAAGAAGGGCTTTTGTGTTGCGTTTTCTACTTGCTGGCCTATGCTTTTGGCTGACTCGATTCATGCGATATTAACTTTCTAAGAGGTATCCGAGTCAGATTACCAACCCCTGCTGCCAAGTGAACTGGCGAGCGGTAGTGTGTGGTTCCCGCAATATTGCAAGTGTAATCCGGGTACGAGGAATGCTAACCCTGGGCTCTGTTTTTGTTTCCCCCACCCAGGATTATTACCAAAGCAACTGTCAAGACAATGGGGGGAAAAAGTAGTCTGGCAGTTTCGTTGAAGTTGGTTTCCTTTTTGTCTGCTGGGCTGTTTAGATTTATCCAATCAGGACGTGCCTTTTGGCATGCCTGGGCGTGCAATTGGAAGTGCACCAATGACATCTAGAATATACTTCATGTTAACTAGGGGTCTGTGGAAGATCAGGTTTGTTAGTGGAAAATGAAATTCTTTTAGAAGATTGCTTATTGTTGTCATACTATCATAGCATTAATTATTGCAGCCATCATGCCAAAGTTTAGTGTAAATAGTAAAGAGCATCTTTTGCAGTTTAGAGTCTAATTTTGGTTTTCTCATTGCTGAGAATCTAGGAAGCCAGTGTTGGTTTATTCAGTTAGTAAACACGGAATGGTGGAGCAACACAACAAAAAGCTTTGAGAAGGTGGAAATGCTACTGTGTTCTTCACACATCAAGTTTTTTTTTTTTTTTTTTTTTTTAAAAGCTGTAGGAAGATGAGTTGACCTGGATGGTCCATTTCTATATTATTTCTGTGCTTTCAAACTTCTTTTATTTTTGGAAAATTCACGTTCATTGCCAGAATTCTATAGATACTTTTGTCTTCTGGTAGGAAGCAGCTACATTTTTATTTTTACTAACCCTCAGTGCATTTTAACAATTCCTTCAATTATGAGTATATACAGATATATATGGTACATATGGATCTTGAAGTACCTGTGACATTTTCATAATTGTTAATAGCAAATACTTTCATGTCACTTTGCAGGTATAGTAGGTACTGGTTTGCACTCATTTTGACTCCTTCACACTGACTTTCAGTATTATGCCTGCAACTGAATCCTATAATTTGATGTTATTAAACATTAAAAAAATTCTTGGTGGGTATTTTAAAGTCAGTAGCTCTCATTCTGTAATAATAATAATAATTTATTATTATTATTGGCACTGGGGATGGAACCCAATGTTACTTAACCACTGAGCCACATCCCCAGCCCTTTTAATATTTTATTTTGGGACAGAGTCTCACTACATTGCTTAGGTCCTTGCTAAATTGCTGAGGCTGGCTTTGAACTAGTGATCCTTCTGCCTTAGCCTCCCAAGGTGAAAGGCATATGCAACCATGCCTGGTAATATTCTGTGTAATATAAAGAAGTGGGACCAAATGTCACAAACCCCTTAGGAGTAAAATGACTCTTAATCTTATTCTTTGTTATTATTCCCTTATTTGTTAATAGCTTATTAAATTCGACATTCTACTTAAATTTCTCAATTCAAAGGTAAGGTTAAAACCTGTATCTTTTTAGAGTTTTTGAAGCTGGAGTTCAATTTTTGTTTTTATTTTTTAAACCAGGCTGCATCATATGATTTCCCTTGTTCGGGAGAAAGCCACAGATCCTTCTCCCTTTGTGACAGTGGCTTGGTTGAGATCTGAGTAAATGGGAGACTGAAATAATAAAAAGGAAATAAAAGATCTCTGGTTTATTAAGGTTTATAAAAACTCTGCAATTGCTTCCCTTGGATCTCAGTATGTTACTGACATTCGGTGTAGTTGACATTCTTGTTTTAAAGTTATAAAAATTGTGGCTTAGACAGAAATAATGAACATAAATAAGCATTTATTGTCAATAAATGAAATGGATCTTTTACATGTTCTGTAATCCTGTCATTCTTTTTCTGATCCCCATCTATGATGGAAAAGGAGGTTTTGTTTTTGTTTTTTTACTTTTTAGGGTTACTGAGAAAGAAATTCATATTTTTTTTGTTAATATTAGATTCATTGTGATTTATTCAAGTCATAATCCTTTTGGAATGCAACTGGACCAATTTAACATGACCTTTGGTTTATGTCAATTTGTGTGTGCATTCTTATGCCTTGGAAAGGCACTTGTTTGCAAGGTACTGAGAACTTGTTTAGGTCTTCATCCATTTCCACAACTTTCTGTAACAGTTTAATTTAGTTACAATGAGCATCTTAGGTGATGCTCATTGAGTAAAGAAGACCATAGCCATCTTAGTATGGATGGCATGAAGGCATTTTGATATTATCTCAGATGATGGAGGGCACTGATGAGTGTGTTGGAAGTGTGACAAAGTGATTTTTATGACCATTCTGAAGTCAGCACTTTCTTTTTTCTGCTTAACAACTGCTTGTTTCTTTAACTATGGGGAAAAAGCACAGTTAACATTACTATGTAGAGGCCTTGATTATCCATCCCTGTTAATAATTAAGTAGGCTAATTTTTAAAGACTTGTCAGTGTCTGTTGCATTCCCCCCGCCCCCAACACACACACTGTATCTTTTTAGTTTCCTAACTCTAGTTTTTCCAAGTCCCATTCCTAAATTCTGGTCATGACTAAAAAAGAAATCCAAACTATACTGGATGAGAATGGTTACTGGCTCCCAGCTTCCTTTGTTCAAGCTAGAGTTTGGTAGCATCTTTTCATTAGAACACTTTGCTCACACTAATGAGCACTGTTAACAACTCAAATTAGACTATTCCCTGGCCCCCAGCTTTGTTCACCTGTAAGTCCCTCTATTCTTTACTTGGGAGATTCTTCCTAATGCTTCCATTTCCATGTCAAGCTCTATCTCCATGAACAAATGTCATCTGAGTTAAAAACTAGTTACCGGCAGGCATGGTGAGTTGTGCCTTTAATTCCAGTTAGTATGAAGCCTGGGACAGGAGGAGCTTAAGTTTAAGGCTCACTTGGACAACACAGAGGAATCCCACTGAAAGAAGAAAGGAAAAGAAGCTATCTCTGTGTTCTTTTTTGAAGATTGAAGTTGGGTACCATGAATGTCAACAGAAAAAATCTTAATGTGCTTATTTTTTTCTTTACTAGATTCTAGGGCTTAAATCTTTGCTTTGTTTTCCTCTATTTTGGGTGTGTTTGTATGTTAAATCAACTGAATCTCAGAAAGGCCATCAAGTGGGTTAAATTATTGCCAGATATTAACAATTTTCAGTATTTTTTAAAAAATATAAGAAGCCAAAAGTACTATAATTCTCTTGCTCTTTTATGATCCTTTTCTTCACAGCTTGATTTTCAAATTGTCTTCTTCTCAAGTACACTATTCAAAAATTTTGGGGCTAGGTTTACTATAAACAACAACAGCAACAAAACAGAAATAAGAAATATTTGCACTATTTTTGTTTTGGGCTAATAAGGCAGGAAGATATGGAAAAATGATACATAAAATTTCTTAATTGTCTTTTTTGAGTTTTAGCTGTTATTTCCATAAGGCAAAGCCATTGGTCATTCAGATTACATACCCCCCCCCCCCCCCCCCCAACTAATACTGGGGTTTGAACCCAGGTGCATTTACCACTGAACCAAATGCCCAGTCCTTTTTAATTTGAGATAATGTCTTGATAATTTGTTATTACTGGGATGACATGTATGTACCACTGTGCCTGGCTACCTGTTTTTTAAATTATATGTACTGTAGGGGAAGAAAGGTGTGATGTCTTTCTTTATCCATCATAGTAATGATACCCCAATGACAAAAGATAGGTTAATAAAAAATGATAAATTTATGTGATGTAGTTTACATGACATAGAAGTTTTTAGCATGAAGACCCAAAACTCAAGGCAAACTATTCATTTATGTGCTTATGTTTGATAAAGTGTGGACAGCCATGTAGACATATGATTGGACATAATTTAATGATAATAGAATATGTGGGGAAACCCAGCAAGACTTCTCCAGATTCTTCTTGACCTTGCTGGGTGACAGTCTTTCCTCCTTGTTGAGGAGCAACTCCTTCTTAACTAGGTGAAATGTTATGAAAAATATTATGAATGTTATGAAAAATCTTTTGATCCACCATCAGACAAGGTAGGTTAGGGAAGTTCATTATGTTCAGCTCCCAGGCAATGAAAGATGGGGGAAAATTAGAATAATATATTTAGGCTTTGTGGCTTGCATTGGGGGAAAAGTGGCTCTAATGTCTTATTATGAGGAAGAGAATCCAATTTCAGTGCCATGCCTGGGGATGGGGGAGGAAGAGGAGACAGAGACAGGACAGTTGAAGGTCAGGAAGAAATTTTGTTTTTGAAGCTGCATTAGTTTGGGGTATCATTTTCTATGCTCCAACAGTAGTTAAAGAAGGCCCTGGAATGGATATATATAGTTGAATGTTCCAACATATAAAATATTATGAATATTATGACTCAAATCTGTAATCTTCCCTAAGCAAAAATCAAAATTCATTTTAAAACATCAGCTAGTAACCACTGTCTTTGTGTTAGCTTTTGAAAATTGAAAAAAAAAAAATGTGTGTGTGTGTGTATGTAGCTAACACATCTAGGGTATTAATGACATGCTGGGTATAAAATCTAAAACCTGCCAATGTTGTGTTTTTATGTACATTTATCAGTTACATTTTCTGACAACTTTCTGTAATTGTACAATAGAACTTCATAATTACATAGGAACCTGTTAATTTCAAAATTCATGCATTTATTTTAAAATATGCAATATGAAATAATTAAAATTGTGCCAATGAAAATATCACAGTCTTCCTTTGACAGCTTCTCAGATGATAAAGTCCTCAGGGTACTGGTGATAATTGTGCTGATGCTGTTCTTTAAAAAATCATAATTATTAATGGGAAACGTTTTGGATCCACCACTTATCTAAATTTTTTTAGTTTCCTCTTCATTTTAGTACTTGTATAATAGCCATTATGTGTCTTAGCTAGTAGTGTACTGTTGAAGCTTCATATAATGATCCATGACTTCTGGCAAATTGAAAATACACAGTAAATGTTGATTATTCCTATTTCCGTTACCAAAACTATATATTGAAATTATATAAACCTTATTTAAAATATATTAACAGGTATACATTACATATATACACTACATAAAACTATATAACCAGGAATGCATTCAAAGGTAAGTTTTGTTTGCTCAATAATCTTTTATTTTAAGTGTTAATTTGATCAAAATATTTTCTGAGGTTTTTTTTTTTTTTTTTTTTTGGCAAAGGAGCATCCTAGGTGTTCTGGTGGATTTAATGGCACAATGATTTATGTGCCAACTGAATCCTCATTCCTCCAAGTCCAATACCATGACAGAAACAGGTTGAAAACTTATGTGCCAGAATTTGAACAAATTTATAGTATACAGGAAAATACATTCAATCGTGGAATGCTTTTTTCCAACACTGTAGGGGTCAATAATATTATAAATATCCAGTACTCTAGTATTTTAATTGTGGAGAGTTGATCTTTTTTTCAAAGATACTCAAATGCCTGAGTTCACAGCACTCAAGTCTCAAATGTTTTGCAGACTTTCCATGATTATAAATTTCTTTTATATAATTGCCAGGATATACTATGATTAACTTTGCTTGTGTATCTCTAGAAATTGCCTATATTGATTTTACCACCCATCAGCATATCTTAATAACGTTTTATTCTTAAACATTTCTTAATAACGTTTTATTCTTAAACATATTCTTAAACATTTATTGTGATATTGTGAATTCAACCCAACTGGTTCTTCTGCAAGAAAGCCTGCAACTTAAAACAGCTAGTTCTCTACTCCAAGCCACATGTCCTGTCTTCTTCCCTTATTTTAAGAATATGCTTTTTGAGAGAAGGATATCACTAAATTGCCCAGGCTGGACTGTTTAACATGAAATCTCCCGCCATACATATCCTTCTACATTTTCAAGGTAGTGTGCCTATGTAGTTTCAGAATAGAATTGCTGTCTCCCTTCCCTTCAGGTCCTGTTTGGACATAAGCTTCCTTCCCTAGGACCAGGGATTTATGATATGATCGTTGCCAAGTACTTTGCAAAATCTATGTCCTTCATATTCTGGGTAATAATGGAAACCTTGGCCATCAGGGTTGCATGCAGGGCCACGAGGTGGCTGGCTTGCACTAGTAGAGATAGGCCTCTATAACTAGCAAGGAAAGGTACCCTCTGATGAATACCAGGAGCCTTGACACCCTGAACTATTTTCAAAATCAAAGTAGAATTATGGAAATCCAACTATTTTAAGTTGTTCGTGCTTAAGGTGGAAGGCCATCACTTGAGATAGTGCAAAGAAGCAGAAAGTCAAATGTAAGTTAAAAAGTCTCTTAAGACTTACCAATTAGACACCAACATAAATCTTTGCCATTTATAACTAGGGCAGAAAATCAGCAAAACAAAACCATGGAAAAAACGCTTGACTTAAAAAGGTAAAAAGAGCACATCACGTAAGAACTTGACCTTAAGTTAGTGCAAAGTTATCCCTTACTTTGCGAGTACTGCAGCATCTTCCAGTAAGATGTATTTGGCCCTGAAAAGAGCCTTTAAACCTTATTCGAACACTCACTCGGCAAAATATTTTACGCTCTCTCCCCACGGATGCGGCGCGCGAGCTGGATGTCCTTGGGCATGATGGTGACGCGCTTGGCGTGGATGGCGCACAGGTTGGTGTCCTCGAACAGCCCCACCAGGTAGGCCTCGCAGGCCTCCTGCAGGGCCATGACGGCCGAGCTCTGGAAGCGCAGGTCGGTCTTGAAGTCCTGCGCGATCTCGCGCACCAGGCGCTGGAACGGCAGCTTGCGGATCAGCAGCTCGGTGGACTTCTGGTAGCGGCGGATCTCGCGCAGCGCCACGGTGCCGGGCCGGTAGCGGTGAGGCTTCTTGACGCCGCCGGTGGCCGGGGCGCTCTTGCGAGCGGCCTTGGTGGCCAGCTGCTTGCGCGGCGCCTTGCCGCCGGTGGACTTGCGCGCCGTCTGCTTAGTGCGGGCCATGGCTTTGGGTCAGCTCAGTAAGAAGAGGAAGTTTTGCTGGCTCCTCTATTTATACAAACAGAAAGGCCCTGATTGGATTGCACTCGGATTGGATTGTGGACAACGCCCTTGTAGTCCGTGGGTGGAGTCCAGAAGTGCTTGGGGTGGTTCGCTCTTGCTTCTTCCTTTCAGTGCAGATTTTGAGCATTAATTTCAGTTAAATAGCCTTTAAAAACCGTTTTCTGAACAGTTACTTTGACAATGTGTCATACCTCTAACATTACATATAAACAATCATAGGTTATTGTTCCGCTCTGCAAAACAGAATAAGTTGCTTTAGGATTCTAGTTTTCAAAAGCTTTCTTTTTTGCTTACTTAATGTTTCCATCCAAGTGTCCTCATCCGCCCATTTAAAAGTCCAGGGCCAGGAGTGTGAGCTAGTGGTGCAGTGCTTACACACCATGCGTGAGGGTTCTGGGTTCAATACAGCACCTTTAAAAAAAAATTAAGAAAAACATCTAAGTCCATTATCTACTGATTACGCATCTTTTCTGAATCTTAGTTTCACTATATTTACTGTAAATATCTAAGCCTCTTAGACACAGTCTTTTATGATATTCTGTTCCAAAGTACAGAATTTTGTTTCCCACCGGGCACACGCTGCACGATCCTCTAACTTGTTGTTGCTGGCTCTTTAAGGCGGAGGCGAACCCCGGCAAGATGGCGGTGGAGAACTGCTGTGTGTCTTTTCAGGCACCCGTGACGCAGCGTTTGGAAATTCTTGCTGGAGAGATCGGAGGTGTCCTGCGCAATTTCAGACATCAGCGGAGCTGTCAGGACTGGATTGTCCCAGACAACAGGATTCCTTTACTTGTTTCAACACTCAAACTCCACAGTCGGTACATCTTTTCAAAAGGGACATTTACTGGGAAAAATTCTTAGTAAAGAAAATTATGATATGGCACGGAAATCAGCCTATTGGCTCCCCAGCAAGTTCATTTTTCAGCCAATGAAAAGAAAGCAGATTGGTAACGCACAATTTACATACTCTTAGTCCATTGGGTAGTATGGTCCAATCAGAGCGTACACTTCTAAGTCCTGTTTTGCATGAGCCTTTTTATATAAGAGGACCTTGAGCGCCTGTTAGTGGAACCAAATTTTTGTGTCCTCTTGTTTTTTCTTGAAGCCATTTTAGAAAGAGAACACCAGTTTCCAAAATGTCAGAGCTAAGACACAGTGGAAGGATCACCCATGCACACAAACAAAATCCATAAACTACAGCAAAGACAGCTATTTTATGTAAGTTTGTAAGGTCCTAGATAAAGTCCACCCTGATTGTGGCATTCAGTCTAAGGCCTTGGGCATCCTGAACGTGTTTGAGAGCTTGGAGAAGTCTCTCCTGGCACTTCATGATAAGTGCTTAACCATCAGCTCTAGGGAGGTTCAGACAGTTGTGTGCCTATTGTTGTCAGAGGAATTTACCAAATACAAAGTTTTATCAGAGCCACTCATTTTTGCCAGATCGAGATACTTGTACTATGTTGTGTAAATATATTTTCTTTTCACATTTGACCCGTTGTACTTAAGGAGGAAACATCATGACAGTGCGTGTGGCTTACTTTAGTCAGTGCAGCAGAATTTAGGAACTGTATAGGAGGAAATTCCCGTCCCTATATGTATGTAGTGTTGCCAAAAGCCTGGTATTGTCCCTGATGCCAATCCAATAATGAGGACATGATTTTGAGAAAAAAGAAAAGGAAGGTTTACTGCTTTGCTTGCAAAGGAGAAACACTGGAGACTCCTGTCCCAAAGGCTGTGATTCTGTTCATCAGCAGGAACTGGGGACTTTGGAAGGTGTGATTCAAAGGCTACATTCAATCTGTTGTCTGTTTAGACTTCTAATTCATTTGTTAATTTGGGAGATAGTCATTTCTGAGATCTTCTGCTGCCATCCCCAAAGTCTGAATTACTTCCTTCCAATGGTGGACACGTGCTCAAGAACAAATATCTGTCTGGGATGGAGAAGAAAGGTAATTGTATTTGCCCTGAGATTAGGGAGGGGGAGAGATAAGGGAGGAGCAGGCAGAGAGAAAGAGAAAGAAAGAAGTCCATTTAAAAAATGTTTCAGTGGCAGAGCATCAGGGACTATATTCAAAAAATAAATTGGACTACTGTAGTACTACTTTATACTATTTATTTATTTTCAGGCCTTAAGGTCTGTATATAGCGATTTTCTAAATACTTGAATGTTCTCAAACTTGTCCCATATTTAGCTTTCATAATTTTATACTGGCTAACTGCGAAGTTCAATGTAGCCCGATGCTTATATGACTGGGCCTTGGGCGCTTTCTAATATGTTGCCTACTTTTTGATTTTATGTGCCTCACAAATTGAAAAATACATTTTACTGAGGTGATGTAATGTCACTACTACAGTACAGAAAGAATATACCTGAGTGTGTTTTTCAACCTGAAAGTCTAATATTGTTACCGTTATTGTCTACTACATTAAATTTTTCTGTTCCCAGCTTTCACTTAGTTTGGGTCACTAAGTTTCCTTCACTTAGATATGGAGAGGGATGGATTTTAAGAGCTCTGTTATTCCCTGGAGGTATAATCTAAAGTTCTCTGAAGAAGCCACCTTTGTATTGAAGATCCTGCAAGCTGCTTGGCTGACTAGAACATCTTAATTGTGGAGAGATGGACTGTTGCAAGATTGAGAGGCAAAATGATCTTGGGCTAGCCTTAGTCAATTTAATAGCCATTTACTACCACCTGTGTATCTGAGCTAATATACTTGTGACTACTAGTTAAATCTTTTGGAAGTTTCTTTTCAGCTTTGCTGACCTCTACATTTCACCAATCCTCAAGTATAAAAATGTTGTAAAATAACATCTGAAACCTATATACAAGAATTTTCCCCACTCTGTTGCAGCCCTACCTATCTATATCCCCACCAGTGTGTGCAGTAAATGCATTGATTTCTATCTTTTTTTTTTTTTTTTGTGACTATTAAAATTTATGTAACCACTTCTGTTGTGGAGCATATTCTTCAGAGTGACCTCAATCCATATTCCCACGCCTTGGCCAATCATATTTGGCTCAGAATAAATTATCTCTTTTGGAGCAAGAACTGTGTTTTGCATCCACAAAGCACACAAAGATGTGGTCGCATATGGTTCCTGTCTTGAAAGTAGACCATTTGTGTTTGTGATGCTGAAAGTGAAATGACCTTTTCAATTATATTTGAGCACATGCCAATGCTTAAAAACTGTTAAAATAAACCACCAAGCCATGATAGTTGTCTGTGGTGGTCCTGAACTTGATATTTGATGGTGACATAGTAGTGAAACAGGATAGGTTATTTTTTTTTTTTAAGTGTAATTCTTTTAGTAGATAAAAATTACAGGCTATGTTCACACAATAGCGTGGAGGCCACCTTATGAATTATTAGATTTCAGTACTGTCAGGAAAAATAGATGTCTAAGAACCAAAAGAAAGACTGACTATATACCACTCCATGGTATTCTGATTCATTCTATTAGCCCGTAAGCAGGAATCTGGTTTAGAGGTGAGGTGAAGTGCACCAGTTGAAGGTGCCTGTAATGGGGTACTGCCAGTGACCTCTTGTAAAAACTAGGACATGAAAAAAAAAAAAAAATCTCCATTTCATTTTTAACCTCCTGTTTTCTTGGATGAGATCCATGTTATCAAAGATTATCAAGAGAAAGATACACATTTATTCCATGACATGTGAGATCATAAAAATTAAGACCCATAGGCATACGTAGAAATTGAATGCTTAAATACTGAAATTGACAGAATAGTAAATGATGAAGACATAAAAAGGGGGTTTGTGGGCTGGGGATGTGGCTCAAGCAGTAGCGCACTCTCCTGGTATGCACAGGGTGCTGGGTTAGATCCTCAACACCACATAAAAATAAAGATATTGTGTCCATCTAAAACTAAAAAATATTAAAAAAAAAAAAAAGGGATTTGTGCTAAGGTAATTAATGGTGGCACAGTACTTTGGATGTTAAGCATTTCTTCAATAAGGCTTGTTTAGTACAGATTCCTCTTCACAGGCCTAACGATGGTAATAAAATACTTTCATTCAGGTATAGGAAGGGCATGTTACCTATGGAGGGTTATCTCCCTGATTTTGGGCAGAGAAAGTAGAGGCCAGGGGAGAGTGCCTAAAACCTGTCTACCCTCCCACTCCCAATTTTGTTCTATATCCTTACTCCTAGATGGCATGTTTTGGTCTGGCATATTCTGCTGCCTTTCAAGGCCAAGATACAGAAGACGAGCTTTACCTGACTCTTCGTTAGGAGTATTTCAAAATTTATTTTCTAGTTGCTAAAATTATGCTATAGCCAAGCACCTGTTTTGCTTTTATAGCTGACAAAAATACCCAAAACTTTGAGGAAACTAAAGCTATGGCTTATAAAATAGCATGGAGCAAAGGAGAAATAACATGTGGGTTAACAAGCTGCTTGTTTCCTGAACCTTGGACAACTTGAAGCTTTTACCGGTCGACGCCCAGGGGAGATTCTACAGACCAATCCCACTGCGACTCATTGGCAAGGGTTCACTCCCCAAAGTGACCGCATTAACAAGGAGTAAACAATTATAGTAGTTGATGTAACAAATTAGGACAAGAGCAGCACACCCTCTGAATTACCTTATTTTCAATTGCAGGAGAAAAGCAAAGCAACTCCACAGCCCTTTAGAGTGAAAAGTAAAGTGGCCCTGAAAAGGACCGTTCAGAGTTTTTTTTCTCGGTAGGCGCTGGTGAAACTCAACCCCCGAAGCCGTAGAGGGTGCGGCCCTGGCGCTTGAGCGCGTAGACCACGTCCATGGCCGTGACCGTCTTGCGCTTGGCGTGCTCCGTGTAGGTGACGGCGTCGCGGATCACGTTCTCCAGGAACACCTTGAGCACGCCGCGGGTCTCCTCGTAGATGAGCCCGGAGATGCGCTTGACGCCGCCACGGCGGGCCAGGCGGCGGATGGCGGGCTTGGTGATGCCCTGGATGTTGTCGCGCAGGACTTTGCGGTGGCGCTTGGCGCCGCCTTTGCCCAGGCCTTTGCCTCCTTTCCCACGACCAGACATGGTTAAAAGTTGGGGACAAGTAATTCACAATGCTGCAAAACGTTATGTTTATAGTCCTCCTGCGGACCTTATTGAAAACCAGACATGAGGGCGGGAAAGAGTGAGAGGATGGTTCCAAAATCATTGGTCACCGCCCACAGTGCTTGCGAAGCCCTTAGGCAGAGGGAGGAGGAGACAAAGAGTGCAGTGTGTTCCTGCTTGCCCATTGATTCGGAAACCTAAAAGTACCGGTAGGATTGAAGCCATGCTTAGGGTTGTGGATGAATTTTTATAAATACACTTTGTCATGACGAATATGCATGATTTACTTGCTTCTCTCCAATTTAAAAGAAACTGTTCACTTTGGATCAAATCGAAAGGGTTATTGACACTGTTACAATGCCCTAGGGAGTGAGGACTGAACTGAGATCCACTAGGTAATAGGAACGAAGTCTGTGGGCCCACAGATGGACTTCTACTTTAGTACTCTTGAATCTCTTCCTAAAGTCTTTGGCAGCCTGGTTCTACCTTCAGTTGCTATCCTAATTCCCATCTCTGTGTTTGTGTAAAATTTTGATTTAAAAAGTCATTGTGAAATTTTCGTGATCACATTTAAATTTATTTAATCACTTCTTATGACCACCTCCACACCTCTAACAATTCCTCCTTGGATTTCCACTGTCCGATAAAGTAGAGCGACTTGTAACATTGGGAATATGGATGTTGCTCCTGAGGACTGAATTTTTTTAATGTGATGTAATTTAAAAAGCTACTCCGCATTAATTGGAAAATATCAGGTATATTTGAGCAACTCATGAAATTACTGTATGGTTGTAATTTTAAGGCTGATACAAAGTTACCTCCAATAAAATGTAAATATTATTTGAGTAAAATATACAACAAATGAAGATTTGCAGAAAGTGTGAAATATTTCAATAAAAAAATGTTTGGTATTGATTTTGTATTCCATAGTAGTAGTGTCAGGACTCCTCCTTTCCTCCTGTGTTTGGGGTTTCTTATTAAATGCTGATGGCATAGGTTTCAAAACACTGGATTTTGAATGATTCAATGAGATTTAATATGATACTGGATTGAAGACAATGAAACAAATAAATCGCTTGTGCTGGAAAATATATCATTATATTTGTCTTGTCAAATATATCATTACTCATCAAGGCAAGGATAATGGACAGCCAGAAAAAATATTAACATTTGAATTATTCAAAGGTAGAGTGTCCATAGAAGGAGACTATACTTTTGCCCTTGAAAGTGTGAGCATCCAAAACTGATTCTTAAAACAATTGGTGTCTATGAAAGTTCAAGCTTAAATATATACAATAAAAGTTCTGTAGGTTAGAAGTAGTAGTCATTGGGGAAGCACAAAGTCATTTTATAAAAACAAAACAAAACAAACCCACCCAACCCCCCCCCCCCCCCCCCCCCCAAACAAACAAACCAAAAAAAAAACATTTGAAAACAAAAAGAAAGTCTGAAGCTTTTTACTATTCCTGAAAGCCTTTTGAAGCTAAGAATGAGATAAGAAAGCCAGGTTGATTTCTTTGGAGTCCAGAAAGAATGACAAATGAAATATTGTGCTATGTGATAAATGAGTATAGGAAGGATATCAAGGAGGTATACCATGAGAATCCACAGAAATATATCTTGCAATTTTTCCATTTTATTTGTTTTTATTTGTAGTAAGAGTAAGCTCTTCTAAAATAGTAGACATGGGGCTGGGAATGTGGCTTGGTGGTAGAGGACTTACTTGCCTAGGATGTAAGAGGCTCTGCAGGGTTTGATCCTCAGCTTTATCCATCTCCCTCCTTCAAAAAACAAAAATTTAAGAGGTGTCATATGTATTAGCTGAAGGTAAAGAGGTGCTAGAATCTGTACTGATCCTTTCACATTCTTTCCATAAGTGAACACTTGTTCTGAAGGTCATCTCAAGACATCATTGATAACAACATGATGAGAAGATTAAAGTGAAGCCATAAATCAGTTTCTTCAGCAGGAGTGGCTCATTAAATACATGAATGTATGGACTCTGATCTATGGAGAATAGTTCTGAACCCTTTTTAGAAATAATCAAACTATGGATTGAGATAAAGGACGGATTATATTTCCTTTCACTATCATATGAACACATAGTCTAAAAGGCCTGCCCAAGCTTTTAAAAAGTCTTCTAGGGGAATGTGCATCCATTTGGCTCTTTATTAGGGCACTGTTTCTGTGTTTTTAATTATAAACTTGTAGGATATTGATGATTGTAATGATTTTTGCCCATTACAGAGCACACATATCTTTGCAGTAGAAAAACATCTCATATATAGCCCCTCCAAAAAAGAAAACAACAACAAAAACCACATTTATTACATTCATTATATATTTGAGACTTGGTTTATTATTGTGAATTTTATACTTTGATAACTGTCATATGGTAATGGTATAAGAGACCATTTTTTTTTTTTTTTTGATTATGAAAAAAAGCAAGTACTTGATTTTTAGGTTTCTGTGGCATATGCCGATGTTTCTAGGACTATCAAGAATTCCTTTCATCTGATTTTCACGGATTTTGACCACAGTGATTATGGTTATCGCACATGTTACACACACACACACACACACACACATTTTGCATTGTATATACAGATGTCAGGTGGAATGCCTTCTTGTCAGCAATAGCAATCTTGATATCACTGGTTATTGGTGATGAGTTCTGCTTCCTCACCTGTTGAAGTGTGAACATTAGAGAAGCACACTGAGGCAAGCATATAAACCCAGGTATATTTAAGAAGGAGTGACTTAGACTTCTCTTGGAAGGGAAAAGAAGCCAGGCGTTCTGCCCTTTTTATATGTCCTAGGATTCCTTTCTTCTGCTCTCTTCCGCTTATCTCTCTCCTTCCCGTGTAGGTGACTACCTCTGAGAATGCTTGGTGGGATGGCCAAAAGGTGGGAAACAGGTGTGCTGAAAGGGGAAGGCTCAGAAGGCTCCTAGGGGAAGGCTCCTAGATCCAACCTGACTCGATTTACCTATCTGTACTGACTGCCTAATTCTGGCTTCAACCACTCTTAAAAATTACCACTTAGAATAGAAACCACTCCACAAATGACTGAGCCTTCAGCTACAAATCCAGCTGTCTAGTTTGAAAGAAAATCTTCCAAAAAAAAAAAAAAAGGATTTCCTAAATACATTGCACACCATCACATTGTTAATTCACATACAGGGGTCCAGCTAGAAAACCCATGTGTATACTTATCATTTAAATTTGAAAAACTTCATGCATTCCCCCCCCCCCCCCCAAAAAAAAAAAAAAAAAAAAAAAAAACAGGCAAAAGTGTTACAACAGTTTTCATTGTCAAAACGGAATGATCCCTCTGAAGAACCTTTTTTTTCAGTTCTGGGGAAATAGTATATTTGAATTATTCTGACATCAGATGCAGCAAGCACACTAGATGTTCTTGGTATGAAAGGGCCCTCTTGGATGGGATACCATGCACATTATGTCCTGGATAAAACCTATGATGTAGGCAGCCTAGGGACTTGGCGCCTTCTTCTTGGTAATTCAAAAAACCCGCCCTGCAAAGTGATTGGGTAGCTTTTCTCTTTGTTCTCGTTCTTATTTTTAATAATTCTTTTCTAACAATAATGCATGACACTTCTCTATAGGAATTGGGGTACCAGGAACCGAGTTTTTCCTCCTACTTTTAGTGTTTGAATCATAAAATATAATTAAACACAATGCACTGTTGCAGAGTCAAAAACGAGCAGTTTCCTCTAGTGTTGGGATCTATTAATTGTAGCTCCGGAAATACAGTAAAATGAAAAATGAAGGCTAAACATTTAGGCTTAACGTATTCCAGCACTTTTAAAAGAATTAGTGGGTGGCTCTGAAAAGAGCCTTTGATTTCGGAGAATAAGAAGTACTGCAAAAATTCTAGGCTTCTCACTTTCCCTTGGCCTTATGGTGGCTCTCGGTCTTCTTGGGCAGCAACACCGCCTGGATGTTGGGCAGGACGCCGCCCTGAGCGATGGTCACGCGGCCCAACAGCTTGTTGAGCTCCTCATCGTTGCGGATGGCCAGCTGCAGGTGACGAGGGATAATGCGCGTCTTCTTGTTGTCGCGGGCGGCGTTGCCAGCCAGCTCCAGGATCTCGGCCGTCAGGTACTCGAGCACAGCGGCCAGGTAGACCGGCGCACCGGCGCCCACCCGCTCCGAGTAGTTGCCTTTTCGTAGCAGCCGATGCACACGACCCACTGGAAACTGAAGACCGGCTCGGGAAGAGCGAGTCTTGGCCTTGGCCCGCGCCTTGCCGCCCTGTTTTCCGCGTCCAGACATTCTGGCTCGGGACACAACCAACAAACAATCTGAGGAAAAGCAAAAATGAAATGGTGTAAGTGGAGCTACAAGAAGCTACTTATAGTGGTAGGTAGAATTGGAAATGGCGAATTTGGATTGGTTAAAATTTTCATTTGCTATTCACCCAATAAGAAAGGAACTATGATGCAATCAAATTTGCATATGTTCCGTCATCACTAGATTTTCAAATCACATCTAAAAGGTTTTCAATCCCTTATTTGCATACAAGCCCTATAAAAGAAGAGGCCCCAAACAGACTCCATCTCTGTATTTCTTTTTCCTTTCTTGTTGTGTGTAATTCCCAGCGAAATGCCTGAGCCTGCAAAGTCCGCTCCTGCTCCGAAGAAGGGCTCCAAAAAGGCAGTGACCAAGGCGCAGAAAAAGGACGGCAAGAAGCGCAAGCGCAGCCGCAAGGAGAGCTACTCCGTCTACGTGTACAAGGTGCTCAAACAGGTGCACCCCGACACCGGTATCTCGTCCAAGGCCATGGGCATCATGAACTCGTTCGTCAATGACATCTTCGAGCGCATCGCGGGCGAGGCCTCGCGCCTGGCGCACTACAACAAGCGCTCGACCATCACGTCCCGGGAGATCCAGACGGCCGTGCGCCTGCTGCTGCCCGGGGAGCTGGCCAAGCACGCCGTGTCGGAGGGCACCAAGGCGGTCACTAAGTACACCAGCTCCAAGTGAGCAGTTTGTACTTCCAACAAACCAAAGGCTCTTTTAAGAGCCACATATCTTCACAGGAAGAGTTGTAGATGTATTTGCACTTCGATACATGCTGTGAAATGAGATGGTTTCAGATTGGAGAACAACTCTGATCCAGTTTGACCCACATTTGTCAATCTTTGCAAGTTACTTTGTCCAGGAATTGCGAGGAAATTATGCAAATGCAACTGAAACACATTAATAACCTTTTCATTAAATTTCAAGAATCCACATGATAGCCAAGAAATGTTACCAAAAGTTAACCCTTTGGATACCAGAGTAGAAAAAGACCCTTTGGGGTAGATAAAAATGTTTTAGATTAAAATCACTTTGAGCTGGTGTACTTGGTGACCTCCTTGGTGCCCTCCGACACAGCGTGCTTGGCCAGCTCCCCGGGCAGCAGCAAGCGCACCGCTGTCTGGATCTCCCGGGACGTGATGGTCGAGCGCTTGTTGTAGTGCGCCAGGCGCGAGGCCTCGCCCGTGATGCGCTCGAAGATGTCATTGACGAGCGAGTTCATGATGCCCATGGCCTTAGACGAGATGCCGGTGTCTGGGAGCACCTGCTTGAGCACCTTGTACACGTACACCGAGTAGCTCTCCTTGCGGCTGCGCTTGCGCTTCTTGCCGTCCTTCTTCTGCGCCTTGGTCACCGCCTTTTTAGAACCCTTTTTTGGGGCAGGAGCGGACTTTGCTGGCTCAGGCATGGCAAAAGATATTTAAAAAAAAAATGAGTCTCATGCGTTGCATGAGTATTTGGACTGTTCTATGCCAATACGTCTGTACAGCTTATGCTTTGATTGGATAATTTTCAGGAGTACTTTGGTCCTATGCAAATTAAGGGATTGTATATCATCTTTCCAATTGGTCTAAATCGTACACATTAATTTAACCAATCACCGAGCGGAGCTTACAATCCGGTTTACATGTATAAGAGATTCTCAGTAGCCCCAGAATTTAAAGAAGGTTTTTCTTTTTTGGTGAAGCAGCATCTTGAGTAGCTTTAACATGTCCGGACGTGGCAAACAGGGCGGCAAGGCGCGGGCCAAGGCCAAGACTCGCTCTTCCCGAGCAGGTCTTCAGTTCCCCGTGGGTCGTGTGCATCGACTTCTACGCAAAGGCAACTACTCCGAGCGAGTTGGGGCCGGCGCTCCTGTCTACCTGGCCGCTGTACTGGAGTATCTGACCGCCGAGATCTTGGAGCTGGCTGGTAACGCTGCCCGGGACAACAAGAAGACGCGTATCATCCCTCGCCACCTGCAGCTGGCCATCCGCAACGACGAGGAGCTCAACAAGCTTCTGGGCCGTGTGACCATCGCTCAGGGCGGCGTCCTGCCCAACATTCAGGCGGTGCTGCTGCCCAAGAAGACCGAGAGCCACCATAAGGCTAAGGGCAAGTAAATGGAAAGCTGGAATTTTTGATATCCAGTCATGCATAACCAAAGGCTCTTTTAAGAGCCACTTACATAATCATTCAAAGGGCTTCCACTTACCTGAAAAACGTTATGGTGAATGTGTCTGTCAAAGTAATCACTTTGAGCATGGTACGCGTGGGTATCTGAGAAGTGTAAATTTAAGACTGCTACATGTTTGCACGTTAGGCAATTCGATCTTAGCGGAAATTCAAGTGGCAACCTTACTGGTTAGACTTGCATTTGGAAGTTTATTTCGTGACAGCAATAAAGCCACAGGTTAAATGCTGCTTTGTTGTAATAGCATCCCATGCTTTCCTTCTGTGACTTAAAATGTTGCCTAAGGCTGTTCAATCAAATTGGTAATAGCAGGGTTATTTTCCATAGTAGTTCCCGTGGGTGGTATTAAAGTAGTAAACATACGGTAGTGTTAATGGTGTTTTGAGAATTTCATACTAAAAGATCATGATGCATTTTAGAAACCTGGAAGTTTAAATCAACATTAGGATTTTTATGTAAATATAATTTTTGCAGGAGAATGAGAATTGCCTGATCACATTTTAGTGTGCCCTTTTCAAAAGTTGATACAATGGATTTCTGGCGCCAAATTTAAAATTGAAGAATTTTGTTCAGCAAGCAACATGTCATCTCAATGCAGAGAGCAGAGAAAGCATCTGAAAGGCTCTCAGGATAGTACAGGCGAGCAAGAGTTGAAAACAATTAGGGAGAGTCAGGAAGATGTTAATATATGGTTAAACCCTTAGAGTGTTCATGTGATCAGGAAGTGGATGTCGCCACCAATACCTTTGCTGCTAGCTGCAAGGTAACGACTGCGTGGCCCAATCAGAAGGTGCCTCTCTTTATATATACACAGGTAGCAAGTCGTAAGCATTCAGTTTTCCATTAAGTACAGTTTCTTTTCGATTGTAATGGCCCGTACAAAGCAAACGGCCCGTAAGTCTACCGGCGGCAAGGCCCCGCGCAAGCAGCTGGCCACCAAGGCCGCCCGCAAGAGCGCCCCGGCCACCGGCGGCGTCAAGAAGCCTCACCGCTACCGGCCCGGCACCGTGGCGCTGCGCGAGATCCGCCGCTACCAGAAGTCCACCGAGCTGCTGATCCGCAAGCTGCCGTTCCAGCGCCTGGTGCGCGAGATCGCGCAGGACTTCAAGACCGACCTGCGCTTCCAGAGCTCGGCCGTCATGGCGCTGCAGGAGGCCAGCGAGGCCTACCTGGTGGGGCTGTTCGAGGACACCAACCTGTGCGCCATCCACGCCAAGCGCGTCACCATCATGCCCAAGGACATCCAGCTGGCCCGCCGCATCCGCGGGGAGAGGGCGTAAACTCTTAGAAACAGTACTAAGCTGAACCCAAAGGCTCTTTTCAGAGCCACCCACCTTTTCCGTTGAAGAGCTGTTTATCGCTGTTGAAGTTCATCTGGAATCGTCCCCGTGTCTATTTGTAATCCATGGTAATTAAATTAGTTAAATGAATCTCCCTTATTGTGTTTTTTTCTAAGTTTTTATTAAGTTATCCTCATGTTTTCTTTATGCGACTGTTAGGATATTATTTTAAGATTGTGTATGTGAACACAACCCAAACTTAAAAGAGGATTGGCCTGCAACAGGGTAGTGCGTAGAATGTCTTTAAGCTGATTGGTTCCCATGTCACTCGCAGCTTCTCAGGTTAAAGAGTTTTAGCTCTTTCCAGAAATGTGCTTGTTGAAATTCAGGGAGGGAAACTGAATGACTATTCCCCCTAAGGAATCTTTAATTTTATATTACCATTCACTGAGATCAGTTTGGGTTTTATAATTTATATGTGTTTACTTTTTTTGCGTTCCATTGTCAGTGCTAGGAGTTCAATGCAGGATCTTGGTCATTCTATGCCAGCCTAATACTGATCCAGGACCCCAGTCGTATATTCTATTTGTCAATTTTTGAAAATCATAGGCCTATGCTTTTGTCAAAACATCCCTTCATATTATCAGGTTGAAGAGAACATCTTTGCTTAAAATATAAGATTTGTGTTTGTAGTTTCAGTTTGATGATATCTTCTTGGCATTTCATAAATTCAATTGCTTGATTTTTATTCAGATTTATCCAGGAAATCTTACAATTTAGAGGCAGTAACAGGATGTTTTGGGGTTTCTCCACAAGAACAACAGTAGCAGATGTTTGGAACAACAGTTCATTAGAACAGTCTCTCTCTCTCTCTCTCTCTCTCTCTCTCAACAAGCATCATAGTGGTTTTTCAGGGAAGATTAATTTTGGGAGTTCAAATGTTCAGTTCTTTAAGGAAATGGAATAGTCAGTAATCTTCCTGAAATAATAATTGAAACCATAGTTTATTTCAGGGCGATTCAGTGGAAATTATAAACATGAACTCTTTCATGAATTAAAAAATAATTCTTTGAACTGGCTGTGCTTGGGGAAATCAGTAAAATGTTTATGACCCTCTGCAGATTAGGTCTGTTATGTTTTAGATGTGGAAGAGGGACTTTGAAAAGGTATTCAGGAATAAGATGAAGGAATGTGTCAGCATTCACACACACACACACACACACCCACCCCCACACCCACACCCACACAAGTTTAAAAACATTCTTTATAGTCAAGTACTACATTTACAACTTATGCAAATGTTGAGGGAAGGTGGTACCACTTAGCTTCTTCATATTGAGTATAGGACTGTAGGTAGAATGTGTTTTAATTTTATTTCATTCACTTCTTATAAGATATGCCCCCCTCACACACATTATGTTTATTTCGATGCATGTACACTCTGTATTTCATTATGACTGTGAAGTAGAAAAATGCTGGGTGCAGCTGGGCATGGTGGTGCTAGCATGAAATCCCAGGGGCTGGGAACACTGAGGCAGGAGGTTTGCAATTTCAAGCCAACCTCCACAACGGTGGGGTGTGAAGCAACTCAGTGGGTCCCTATCTCTAAGTAAAACACTGGGATGTGGTTCAGTGCCCCTGAGTTCATCTGGAAAAAAAAAAGAAAAAAAAAAAAATACACACACACACACACACACACACACACAAGCACTGGGTACAAAGTCCAAAGAAGCTGAGGGTTTCATCTTGTCCTTTTCTTGATCCCATCTAAAGCAACAAATGTGTGAATACATCATGTAGCACACCTAACTTGGACTAGGAAAAAAATAAATGTAAAAAAAAAAAATTCAAAATAATCAAAATGTTTGAGATGAGAAAGCAGCTTAGTATAAGTCACTTTACTTTGAGCATTTATTCACATACTACGGAGCTTATGTTTTTCCAATGTAAAGGGATTTAACTCATGACAGTTGATTTTCTGCTGCATCACATAGGAAGAGTTTTTTCTTCAGTCAGCAGGAATTGTCCAATGGAGTGCCTTTCTTACCTTCCTTAAATTCATCTGTAAGTTTTATGTGGACACTTCAGAAGGCTAGTCCTGCAGTCCTGTCCTTTTTCCTTATCATTGTTGACTTTTGGGTACAAGGCAGTCCCCCCAAATTACCAACTCTATCTAAGTAACATTATAATTTACATCCCTAAAAGACCTACTAACAATGCCTTTTTTTTTTTTTTTAACTAGTTTGCACTTCAGTTTCTCACTTCTTCCCCTTCCTTTGTCACCATGTGAAGCCTATTAGCACGTTTGAAGGATTCTTCATAAATTCATCTTTTATCTTCCTCCTCGTGGTTGTGGTTCTGGCTCTCTTATTTTGCAGCTGCATTGGCTATTTTCAAAGTATCTTTGTTGGTTATGAACTGCCATCTTTATGGACTTTAATTCATTTTGTTTATTGCAATGAAAACAAAACACTTCAAATTTTTATGCCCCATATTCCTGTAGTTTTAGGATTTAAGAATTTCTCTTTTATGAGGCATTCAAAGTCTTTTATCATGGCATTGAATCACCATTCTGCACTGTAATTTACAACTGTCATGGAATGTATAAAAACACTGATGTGTATTTGAGTGTCGATTTTACTCTTATGAGTTACATGATATTGATCATAACCTCTAATGTTTCACTGTATCTTTTTTTTCCATTTTTCCCCCTTTTTCTCTCCCCAGCTTAAATTATATTTTAAACTAATCTAAGAATGTACTTTGACATTTTTATATATGTTATTTTCCATCCCTTGGGATTTAATCTTTCCAGTTTAAATTCCTGTACTGATCACTTTAATGGCCATTATAATCTATTTCATATTATGTGTATACTTGTTCATTTTAATTTCCTCCTAGGAGATTGTAAACATCCAAAGTATGGATTTGGTTTTATCCATCTGTCATACAATTATTGATAGGAAAGGGTTTTCCATATACAGAGTCTGGAGCCACGAGTGTCGTGAACCTCCTTCTGTTGATTCTTCTGCCGCTTCTTCTGCCATCATGATTATTTCCCAAATGCTTGTTCCTGCACCAGTACTGGTGGGCAGTACTGCTGACATAGGAGAACTTGATTCTTGTTATTTCTTTTGCATTGAATGAAAGCCTCACCGGTTGGGGCCTTAACATCATTGAAGATAAATAGCAATTATGAACAAAGTAGTTATTCCAGTTTCTATCTAACATTAAACTCTGAAATAGCCCATACTGTCTGTTTTCCTAAGGGTTTTAATCCAATATTAATCCAGATATATAATTCTTGTTCAATAACCATATAACTATTTAACGTAAAATAAAGAAATGTGACTCTATGAGGCTCTTTATTCCCTTCACATTTTGAAGAAATAAAATAATTCTGGTAATGAATGGATACCTTTGTACCAAATAGAAGAGAGAAAACCCAGCATTTATTACTGAGTAAACATTAACAGATTTACATAGATGTAAGGAAGGACAAAAGAACTATACACTTGGGACAAAATCACATATACCTTATATTGCACCGTAGAATAACAACTTCTCATATCCTCAATAGCTGAGGGTGCAGCTTTAGATAATCTCCTTTAGATGTTGAGAAAATTCTGAACAAGTGTTAGAGGTGCATGTCATCACATCCAGAGGTTATTTGGCCTATGACTTGGGAGATATGCCTGTATTGTAAATTGCAAACTGTCAGGGTCTCTGGCTCAGTGATCCCTTTAGGTCATGCAGAACATAGATTGAACATGCGGAATAAAAAGAAAGTTAGCAAGAATTATTTATTGCCTGGATTTACATAGCAAGGTGTCTATCCCATATTTAGAGTAACAAGGAATTCAAAGGCTGAAATCTTATTCATTTTTAGTAAGAGATTAACTATTCTTAAACTATATTGAAATCTCTCATGGAGTTTATGCCAATTTCCACAAGATCAAAAATGTGCCTAGTGTAGGTTGTTCCTCAGCTGTAGAGCACTTGGGTAGCATGTGTGAGGCCCTGGATCAATTCTCAGCACCACATATAAATAAATGTAAAAAATAAAGGTCCATTAACATCTAAAAAAAAAAAAAAAGTAAAAAAAAAAAAAAAAAATCTGCCTAAAAGTGTTATGTCTACCCCTGAGCAGATCTATCCACATATAAATGTCTTTAAATGAGCATATCCTTTACTTTGGGGCAAGCAGTTGTGATCAGATCTGCCTGGACAGATTTGGTGCTCTCTTGTTGCTTGTCTTAAATAATTAATGTGGTTGGGGAAAGTCCTTCTGCCACTCATAGAACTTGCACTTCTTTTCTTTCAACAATCTCCACCTTTAAATTTATTCCCATACTCCTGTCTGAGCATCCCAACTGTAATCCCAGCTACTTGGGTGGCTGAGACAAGATCGCAAATTCCAGGCCTGTGTGGGCAATTTAGTCAAACTCTGTCTCAAAAAATTTTTTTTTGTGGATTAGGATTTGCCTAGAAAACATGTGCCAAGCCTTGGGCTCAATCCCCAGTGCATCCCCTATCCTTAAAAGGAAAAAAATGGAAACCAGCTTTAATTCCTACAACATTTTTTCTTCATTTCAATTGTAAAGAAATACTTAAGCTATTTTTACACGAAATCTTTCTAAGATTGGAGGAAAGGAAAATAATATTTTTTCTTTCATTAATGAAGTTGTCATTGTCATTTCCACTTATATATTTCCATCGGATTATTCTAATTTATAATTTGTATTCAATCATTCATAGAATTTAGTGCTCTTTTCTGAACATTTATGAAGCCCAGGTCCTTTCATTTCACTCTTTGAGGAGCCTCTAGAGGAGGAATTCTTAACTCATTGTTGTGTCATGGATTTATATTCATGTCGGATGAGCCTTTTGGGTCCCTTCCTGGAATGTTATATAAAGTTTCAGAGGATTATACATGGAATTACAAAGGAAGTGATCACCAAGGTAGTGCAATTTTAACATATTTAAACCTAATCAGCTCATATGTTCAAGTTTTACTAGTGCGGGTGTGATGGGTTCAAATGCTATTTTAGGATATGGACAGCTGGAATGTGATGTGATTAGTAGCACATATCCTGTCAATTCTATTGTTCTCAGGTGAAGAAAATGCTAAAGTGTAACTGGAGGATAGTAAAAATAAACATGGAATTTTTTTTTCCTCTATTTTCCACTCCTGATCCTGTAATTCAGTAGCCATCACATAGTTTTATTTTTCCAGAAGGCCTGCATGCTAAAGAGCCCTGCTTAGGTTTCTAGACTCCATAAGTCAGTAAAAATCATTTAAGAAGGTTAAACAATAAAGAAGTGAATTGATTCAATTTGTATTTAAAGCATCTCATAAGGAATAACAGCGTGTATTATTTCATATTGTTGGGCAAGTGTCAAGGTTTGTTTGTAGAAAATATGTGAGTGTATACACACACATTTATATTGCACTTCTCGGTTCTAGGTTGCCTCAGGGTCTCCGGGCCGGTTCCTGTGAGCCAGAGACAAATATGCAGAAGGGCGGGTACCGACTGGAGTTCCCGCCCCTGCTCTTGTGGTTTTCAAACAGGTCCGCTAGGTTATTATAAAAGCCTTCTGGCGGCTAGGGGAGCTTATTGTCCTGAGAACCCAGTTCTCCTTTCAGCATGTCTGGCCGTGGCAAGGGCGGAAAGGGCCTGGGCAAAGGCGGCGCTAAGCGCCACCGCAAAGTCCTGCGCGACAACATCCAGGGCATCACCAAGCCCGCCATCCGCCGCCTGGCCCGCCGTGGCGGCGTCAAGCGCATCTCCGGGCTCATCTACGAGGAGACCCGCGGCGTGCTCAAGGTGTTCCTGGAGAACGTGATCCGCGACGCCGTCACCTACACGGAGCACGCCAAGCGCAAGACGGTCACGGCCATGGACGTGGTCTACGCGCTCAAGCGCCAGGGCCGCACCCTCTATGGCTTCGGCGGCTGAGCCGTGGTATTGTCCTTGCAGTCGCTTTCGTTTCTCTACAAAGGCCCTTTTCAGGGCCACCCATCCTTTCACTCGAAAGGGTTGCATTACATTATTATCTTATTGTAGCATATTTTGGTTATGCCAGCGGAAGGGTTTTGTACCGTGGTTACAGTGTTTCCAACAACTAGGTGTTTTTGGGTACAGACTGTCGGGAATAGTCTGCAAGTATTTTCGGAGAGAACCTTTAAGAAATCTTGCACTACTATGTAGGTCGCAAGAGCTTTTTTGGGGGATCTTGTGTCACATTGTAGGAAGTGTATTGAGGCCCTGTTTCGTGCTACAGATAAATGAGATTGTATAAACTGGTATAATCTGGTTACTGTCGCCCTTTAGAACAGTAGCTCTTTTGTTGTTCTGGGGATTGAACCTGAGGATTTGTGACAAGCACTCTACCAACTCAGCTATATCCCCAGCCCCCAACAGTATTTCTTAATATATGAATCAAAAACTGCCGAAAAGAATGTGCTTAAGAATATATGTAGGGACATACACATTTCATGAGCTTTTATCTTTTTAGGGTCCCAAGGGCGTCCCAGAGCACCATGGATTTCCTGACAACAACCTGCCTTCTAGGATGTTAGGGCCTGAGATCTGGAGACTCAAAATTTAAGGATAGACAGATAAGGGGAGACATAATATTGGAGAACACCTTGAATAAGAGTGTTTATTTTGTCATCATTTCTTCTCTGAGTATGGAAGCTCTACATATTCTTGAGTAGTTAGATCAACTCTTTAATAGTGTTATATTTCAGAATGCATGATTATCCATTCTGAAAGAATTAAATTCTCAGACACCTGAGAGACTGAGTCTCACAATATTATTTTTAGTCTTATTATGAAAGAAGACTTTAAAATGCATTTTATCATGAGGCCCATTGATTTTCCTTCTATCTATTTATTATTTTAATAAATGTATTTAATAAGACATAAATATTTAGTAGTCTGTGATTAAGCATAATCATATGTTTATAGGAAACAGTCTCAATACCCTTTGATGTTTGGGAAACAGTCCTGAAAAGTGCTCTTAATGTGTCTTTGTTCAGGTTACTTGACCTCTCTGAGCCTTTTACCTATGTATGAATAAGAATACTATTTGTCTTATAGGCTTGATACTGAATAAAATTATTTGTCGAGCCTTTTGACCAGTGCATGGGTCATGATAAACATAATGTTTGGTTATCATTGTTATTCTATAACTGTTTTCATTTCTCATGACATTTGAGAGGCATGCAGAAAAAGAAGTTGGCATTTGAACCATAAAGATATGTACTGGTGTTTTTTATCTTTGTGGACTGTAGTAATTTGCTAGCCACTGTTGTTCCTGAGTCCATAATTTAGGAGACCTTTTAGGTTGAGTTAAGCCCCTTTCTCTTTTGCCCTGTCATCTGCCTTGAGATGATATAGCAGCAGATGGCCCTCGGCCAGATTTTAATTCCTAGCCTGTAGACCTGAGAGAAATAGCTTTCTGTTCATTATCAGTTACTTAGTCTCAGTTACTCTGTTTCACAGAGTAAGACAAATAAAGGGCTCAGTAAATTCACTCACTTGTTTCTTCATCCATATAAGCCAGTTCATCAATTATTTGTTTTCTTCTGAATCTTACTAATAATTTCACCATGATTATTTGAAATAACCTCTCATTTTTTTCTAGTTTCTTGCTACTTAAAATTTTATAAAATCCATTTTTCCACATAACAACTTAAAAAGTGTTTAAAATTCTAATTGTACTATCACAAAACAAATAAGCCTTCTTTTTGCATATTTGTTTCCCACATGAGCAGGTGTTTGTTTCACTCACTTTCTCATAATTTTGATTAGAGATGTCCAGACATAAGCCTTTTATTTCTTAGGCACAAATTCCTTTCTACTTTTAGACTTTTTGTACCAACAGTTACGTTATTCCAGAATTTTTACTTCCTAGAGTTTTGGTTCCTTTCTCTAAAGTGTTACCTCATCACAATCATGGCCCTTGGTTTTATTTTATTTCTTCATAGAACTTTATTTGAATTGCTTTGCTCAGTTGTCAACTTGTTTACCATCTCTTTTCTCTGGGGACTAAGCTAGTCATCCCAGGAGAGCTGGCTTTTGTATGTCTTCCTTGATGCTGAATCTCAACACTTAGCACAGAGAAATTTCAACAGAAACTGGGAAAAATAATTCATGGGAACTCTTGGACTGCTCTAAGATTTGTTTCCTGTATCCACTGCTCTATTACTGCTGCTCTTTCTTTTGTTTGAACAGTTATCTTCTTTCACCAATATTATTTTTCTCCAATTCTTCTAGGATCCTGGTACTGGAAGCGAGTTGATCATGTGTTCTCTGCTCAGGAGCTTTCAGTAACATTTTATTTTCTGAAAAATCAATCTCAGCTTCATTGTTTGACATGTAGGCTTTGCACTATTTATTTATTTTCTGTACTGGGGATTGAACTCAGGGTGCTCTACCATGGACCTACATCCCAGCCCTTTTTATTTTGTATGTTGGAACACAGTCTAGCTAAGTTGCTTACAGCCTTGCTAACTTTCTGAGATTGGCCTTGGACACCATAATCTCCAAGAATATGATAATTTAGCTGAGACGGGAATTTTTGATCAATCAACTAATGTCTTTGTTGGGGAGGTTTGTATAATCAGGGGGCAATTGGACAAAGAAAATTTCAAAGCTTGAAGAAATCATTGGGACTTTCAAAATCTGGAAAAAAGATGAAGAAATGAGAAAAATGAGAAACAAAGCAGAAAATTAATATTCTGAGGTTGGGTTACATATTTAGATGAGAACACACTTTGCAGAGCTGGAGGCCACAGCAGTGTTCTGATTTTGTGCTGAGAGCACAAAGGCTTAGGGTATGGGTGATACATGGTCAGGTGTGCCTTTAAAATGAGGTCTGTGACTCTGTAATGAAAATTGGATTCCCCATTGGCCAGGAATTTTCAGTATCATCTGAAACTACACCTTTAGTGAGTACAGTGGAAATGCAGTTGCAATTTAGTAACTTTAAAATACTTGTTTCTCTCTTTACATTTATTTTTTCTTCAAAGAACAAAAGCTAGGCTAGCAAACTGGCTGGGAAGGCTGGCTAGGAGTGTTTCTCAAGGACCCTCAAGGACCCACTGTAGGTAGTGATAGTATTCTAGAGTGGATGTAGCATTTCCACTTATGAATAAAGAGCTCCCAGCAAAACTTTTCTAGCCCACCTCCCTCATGACAGCTTCTACCCTACAGTGACTTGAGAAGTGAGGAAGGGAAGCTCAGCTGTTTATTACTTGGAATTTAGTCTGTTGGACATTAAATGATTGCAGGTTTGTAGACTTTCAGACCTCAAGGTCCAAGGTCCAGCTACACCCCCCCCCCCCCCCTTATGGTGGGGTGTAGCTCTTGTAGAGCACATGTATTCAGCTCTCAGGTTGTAATATAGGTTCAACCCCCAGTAATCCCCATCAAAAAAGAGAAAGAACAAGAACATTTCCACAATTATTCTTTTCACACTATGACCTGTGGCAGTCCCTTCATCCCTCCTATTCACAATTACATAGGTCCATGCCTGGTTTGTTAGTCACAGCAGGGAAGGCAAAGGTACTGATTGCTGTCGCCCAAATCCAAGTTAGCACATGAACCGGAAAAGCAAAAAAACTGACATCACAGGCAGAACGGAGCAGCAAAGGACAGGAAGGGAGACAAGCAAAGGGCCGACATGGGGGGGAACTTCCACTTGTACCATAGATGGTCAATTGTCTCATATTAAGTGACCAATTTCATGAAGAGCCGAAGGCCACTCACATACTGCCTGAGTGAGTTTGGGACTCATCCTCATTTTCAGGAAGAGATTCTGTAACACTCACGCATACAATAACACCCTGAAATCGCAGCTGGTAGACAGCCACCCAAGAGGCTGCATTTTATTAAGAACTAACTTTGCAAGCTGCCAGGAACAAATTTTACATTAGTGCACAACTCATTCGAGAACAGTTGGGTGGCTCTGAAAAGAGCCTTTGGGTTTAATAAATGCATTGGCACGACCGATTACTTGGAGCTAGTATACTTGGTGACCGCCTTGGTGCCCTCGGACACCGCGTGCTTGGCCAGCTCCCCGGGCAGCAGCAGGCGCACGGCAGTCTGGATCTCCCGGGACGTGATGGTCGAGCGCTTGTTGTAGTGAGCCAGGCGCGAGGCCTCGCCCGCGATGCGCTCGAAGATGTCGTTCACGAACGAGTTCATGATGCCCATGGCCTTGGACGAGATGCCGGTGTCGGGGTGCACCTGCTTGAGCACCTTGTACACGTACACCGAGTAGCTCTCCTTGCGGCTGCGCTTGCGCTTCTTGCCGTCCTTCTTCTGCGCCTTGGTCACCGCCTTTTTAGAACCCTTTTTGGGGGCAGGAGCGGATTTCGCTGGCTCAGGCATCTTTAGCTGCTCCGAGAAGAATGAGGCTTCTAAATTCTGACTCTGCTTATTTGTAGACAATCTTATGCAAATGAGGTATTACTTTTCTAAACTCTGATTGGTCCATTTGTGTAGGCCCGTGAGCAAGGAAGTATTCTAGACCTACTGTCCCATTGGTCAAATCCTGAGAGCAGCTTTTCAGCAAATGTGGCAGCTACTTTAATCTAAGTTACATTTTAAACAATAGAGCCTTTTTATTGGGAACAATTGAGATTAGTTTGCTTTTCGGTTTTAAAAAGTATGAGATGCCACAGCTGTGAAGCTCATGGTGCAATTTGGAAACTTAGGGGCCAATTTAAGAACTTCTGGATAAGCTGTATTTTTAGATTTGTACTTGTATTTAATTTTAGATTTTCCTTATTCACCTCTTATTCATTTTAGATTTGTATTATATTTTAGACCAATTTCATTCACTTTTTTGTTTTCGATTTAGATCTTTATATTCTAGACCAATAGGAGGAAAAGGAGGAATACTGAAGATCTAGGGGATAAGAAGTCTCCCAGATAATTATGAAGACAGGGTGTCCTAATGTTAAAAGACTGAACAAATACAACAGGAAGACAAAGGGGAACACACTACAGAGAGCGAGCAACCTAGCAGTTCTTAAAGGGAGTTAACACTGGAAAGATTTTCTTAGCTCATATGGCCAAATCATTCCAGTTGGAAAGGAATGAACCTAGTTTAGTCACAGAGTGAAGTACAAAAATCAAGTGATTAAATGCAATTGTGAAAAGATTATAAGAAAAAAAATATGAAATGGAAATCTGGTGTTTAAAGTTTATTTTTAGTTCATTATTGTTTTCTTTTTCCTGAATTTGATAACATGCTAATTCTTTCCTTTCTTCAGGGTGCTTCCAAACTCCTCAGTACTTTGTTACACTTTCCTGCAGGGCTGCCCCAGCCACAAGCCAGTGGGCAGGCAGCAGGGTTCTTGTGCACAAGGGCCTTTGCCTGTGAGGGGGAGTGACACTTTAATGGCAGTGCGCTGGGAATTTAATCAATCACATATTTGTCTGACAAAATAACTTGTATTTCTCACTTCAGTGAAGGAAAACTTATTGAATAGGAATTCAAGTCTGTCTTTCTTATTCCCAATTTAGACAATGTAGCAACGTTCAGAATAGCTAATGTGTTTTGTATGTACTTATCTAATCCTAAAAGCCCTATGTGATTAAAACTACTACTTTTTCCATTTGACAGAAAAGGGTATTAGGTACTCAAGGCGAGTACCTTTGCCTCAATTACCATTTACTAGTAAGTGGTAGAATTAGAATGATGATTCAGGCAGAGATGATTTAGGGCCAGTATTGGAAAAGAGAAAGCTTGTGTTGTTCTCAGATTAAAAATGTGAAAATTTTGATTATACAGTGTACTTAGTAGAGAAAAAAGAGAAAGAAAATGAGACTAAATTTAGACTAGATTAACTGGAAAATGGCAGGAATACAGAAGAAGGCAGTTAGAAATGCAGAGAAAAAGAGTGTAAAATACTAAAGAAATTCACCCAAAGAGGATGAGCTGATTTCTTTAGTCACAAAATGTACTTTCATAAAGGTAAGAGAAGGATCCAGGGATACATGCTGCAACTGCAAAAGGACATAGAAAGAGGAGTGCAGAAGTATAAATCATCACATCAGAGTTAGAACTAGTATGATTGAGGAATACACATTTTTTTTTTTCTTCTACAATGCTGAGAATTGAACTAGGGTTTTAGCTCATGCTAGTGAAGCCAGAATCAGACAGTCAGTAGAGATAGGTAAATCGAGTCAGGTCGGATCAAGGAGGCCAATTTTGAGTGAGTCTGGGAAGTTGGAGACTGTCCCCTGAGGGATTGAGATGTTAATCCCTTCAGAGCCCTCCCTCCACCCTTATCAAGAAACTGCCCCAGTGCCAATCTATTGCCAAGGAAACCCATCCCAGGAATGGCTCCTCCCTACATGGAGGGAAAAGGCTGTCATCCCGTCCTTGTGCGCTCCATTCTGCCCTTCCCCCTTCAGCCCACCTGTTTCCCACCTTTGGGCCATCCCACCAAGCACTCCTGGACCTGGTCCCAGACCTAGACACATATGCAGGAAGGAAAAAGATAGGAAAAGGCAAGAGAATAAAGGAAGCCTAGGACAAAAAAAAGGCAGAACACCTCCCGTCTGGGGATTCCAGGCTACCTGCTATGGCTCTCTACCTACCTAGTTAGAAGATAGACAGAGGTTTACTTAGGAAAGTAGAAACAAATTCAAGGAGAATGCAGGTGATCTTAGAGACATACATTTTGGGGTAAAGTAAGGAATATCAATTCAAGAAAGAATGTGGGCTACTCTAGAGTGAGACATGTTTTTGGGGATCCAGTCTCCTCTTATAAAGAACTTTGGTGAGGGGTGGGTATGGAAAGGCATGTAGATGACACACAGGGTAGTCTGCTCATTCTCAGGATCCTTATGCTAATGTAGTCTTTATTACTATCCAGTAGTAGTGCTGGAAAGTGCCCTAAATTATGGATTTCTTCAAATATTGCCTCTTTCTTTAATCCATTTAGTGAGGTTTAATAAACAGGACACAGGTAGAGTTACAGGTTTCTCAGGAATTTGGGAGTTCCAGGCTTGGAAGCTAAATAAGCTTAGAAAGCGACAGGCCTGAAAACCTTATTTAGAACTTCTAAATTAAAATCTTATGTTCTTTTACTTTATTTATGTCTTTCTACCCATTTCTTATTCCTTCAATTGTATTAGCATATAGTTCCCTTGTTTTAATCATCTGACTTTTTTTTTTTTTTAAAGACCTCCTGCCTCTTTGTCTGCAAATATACCTGGTACAGTGCTGAGGCAGGAGGCTGCCTTAAGTCCAGGAGTTGCAGAGGCCCTGTTTGGAAAAAAAAAAAAAGGACCTGGTAAAGTGCTGGCAGTTAGTAGCCACTTAGCACATGAATCAGTGGGTAACTCAATGAATCCAAGGTGCACTATTAGCAACCAGGGGAAGCGGTGTTGAAGGAATGGTTTCTATCTGATCTCAACTAGAGGTGCTAGTGGAAGAATTTTGACCCACATTACAGGGACAACTTCTCCTAGGATTCCACCCATTCTTTTCTTTCCTTTTATAGACAGCAAGAGTTGAGCTGGGCATGTAGCTCAGTTGGTAGAATGCTTGTCTTCCATGCTCAAGGACCTTGGGTTTAATTCCCTTCACAAAACAAGTGTTGCTCAAGCTGATCTGTAACTCCTGCGCTCCTCTGGAGTAGCTAAGAGCTTGCTCAAGATGATTGGTAACTCCTGGGCTCCTCTGGAGTAGCTAAAAGCACTGGTGGGTGCACAACACTCCTCCCCAGAATGTTTTATAAACTTGAGGGCTTGCTTGAGAGTTATACTGCCCAAACTGATCTCCATTATTTGCATACTGATTCTTCCTCCACTCCCCACAAACCAATAAACCCCCAGAAAACTCAGCATCTTCTCTTTATAGTCTATTTTTCTACACGATCCTAGTAGAATCTATTTTTTTTTATTTTTAAAGTTAACAAGTTATTTTTTCTCACTTGTGTAAGTAGGTATTTGAGGTTTATTAGTAATTATTTTAGTATATTTCATTTGTCTATTTAACAAAACATGTTCAAAAATTTCCTAGATATTGGAGAAACAAAAGAGGAATGATTCATGAATTTGAGTTTATAGATTAGAGTTTTGTCATCAAAATACTTCCCACTAATCACATGAGGCAATTGAGCACTTTGAGTGGATATAGCTGGTAGAAACCTAAATTTCAAAATATTATTCAGTTTTTAAACTTAAAAGACAATCTTGATGCAATTGGAAGAAAATGAGTAGGTACAACCTAAACATGTAATTTGATTGTGAATTTTTAAATACCTAAATACAGATCAAATATTTCCAATGAAAATTAAACATTAAAATGGATGTGGCTGGGTGATTGTAATCCCAGTCACTCAGGAGGCTGAGGCAAGTAGCGTACAAGTTTGTGGTCAGCCTGGAAAACTTAGATCCTGTCTAAAAAAGAATAATAAAAAAGGGTACTTTAGTTCAGTGCTAGACTATCATCCTGGGTTCAATTCCCAGTACCACAGAAGAAAACCAAAACAATGAAAAAACAAAATTTAGATGCCTTTTAAGTCTAAATTACATAGCAGATCTCAACAATCTATTAGTAAAAAAGGACAAAAGTATCTCATTAATTTTTATATGGATTACATGTTGAAATTATAACATTTTAGCTCTATCACAATAAAAATATTATTAAATTGAATCACTTGGCTCTTGTTTTTAAAAATGGATTCACCGAAGAGCTCAAAACTGCGTATGTGGCTCATATTACATACATGACAACAGTGCTGGGCTCAGGAAGGACAGGGACACTGCCTGACTCCCAGGGTGTGCCTGACTTGAGAAGAGGGAGGATGGCTGTTCTGAGGAAGTAGAGGGGAAAACTCTTTCACTGCCGAGCTCTGATGTGAAGAGTCTTGAGTCCAAACTGGGTGAGGCTGGTTGAGGCACTACGGGAGCTGCCCAGGGGGAATACTCATCAACAGACCTAGAGCTGACAAGGTCTGACATACTAAATGACAGGGCACCCTTCTCCCCACGCCCCTTGATATTTTCCCAAGTTTTAAAAATTGTTCTTAACCTTCTTGCCTATCCTGATGAAAGGCCACTCTTCTGCCAATTGCTCAGACCACCTTAAAAACTTAGAAACAATCCTTGACTCCTTTATTTTCTCCCATGTCCCACATTTAGTCCAAAACTCAACTAAAAAAAAAAAAAAAAAAATAGCTACTTCAACAAGAAAACTGAACTCAAAGGACAGTATTAAAGTCTAGAAGGAAGAGCTGCAAAGATATTAGTAAAATAAATGTTGACAAATATCAATAGTAGTGTGAACAAGAGATGTGCACCCAATTTTGCATTAAATACACATTTTCCAATGCCAGAGAAATTTTCATTCAAGAAGGGAATTAACTCAGTTTTATG